TGTATGTATGCTGCCATGTGTCCTTAGGTAGTTTTATGTGAAAACTACCTTCTTCCTTGTATTTATGGGGCTATGAGTGCACAAATCTGACTAATCTAGCATTAGAGAGTTCAAATTGCAATTGTGGGCATTCTGAGTGAGGATTTTGTGTGTGCACCTTAGTCTCCTTTGTATTCTTTGTGGGAAATTAATATAAAGGTTGGGCATTGGCCGTAAACGTGCTTGTGTGTTTGTTTTCCGCTGCATACTCTTGTTATTGTTTACGTGGCTTAAAAGACTTTGTTTGCGTGCATTTGTGCGAAGAGAATCGAGAGGAAGGCTGACTGATTTGGTGGGCAAATCAGACCGCACGGGCAAAAATTTCTTGAGTAAAGAAACCCCTGTGACAGTAGGTAGGGTGAGAGTGAGCTCGAACTTTGTTTATAGAATTTTATTTATTTGGGCTTTTTAGGGCAATCGAGCTCATATCAAGTGGAATCATTTAATGCACCAAAAATTAATTTAACATGAGTATTAGGATACGTAATTAAGTCCAATACCATGTCTTTATGAGAAAATTGGGTCCATAAATTTTGTGAAGAAATTAGCTTCAGAATTTTTGCACACTGTATGATTAGGGGTGCAAGTTGGAACGAAAATTCCAATTTTCCCCGGTTCCGATATATAAAGTTCCGATTTCGGAATAAAAAAATTCATTCCAACTTCCGAAATTTTCCGATTTTTTTGGATTGGATTTGGAATTATAAAAAGAAAAAAATAGAATTTCCGATTTGCGATTCTATTTAATTTCTATAATTAATTCCGAAAATTTTCAATTTTTTTTACGAAAAATACACCTATAAATAATATATATTATATAATACTTATTTTAAGTTTTTAATTTATTTTCTGGAATAGTAATTTGATTTAAGTTTTGGTAATTGACACTTTGCACCCACGAATTACATGTCATCGACATTTTGCACCCTTAAATTGGAAAAATGGCTGAATGCACCCTCCAATTATAATTTCTTTGGCACTTTACCCCTTCATTCATATTTTGCCTAAAAAATGACTGGTTACCTGTTTGTGAGTTTTGAAGAGTGGTAACTTTGTATTTATTTTATTTTTTCATAAATTTAGAAACCCTTCATCATGTAATAATCGAATTCATCATTGTACCCATTTCTCAATTCGAACCCCCTTTTCTTCATGCTCAAATCAATAAAATCATTCGAAAACAAAGCAAAGGTACTTCTAATAAGCAAAGAAGCAAAAGGGAAGCTTTTCTATTAATTTTATAGTCTAGTCCTCAACATAAGGCATACAACAACACGGTTGAACCAGACAAGTTTGCCGGTGCAGCCACCTTGACTTCAAAAAACTTCGTCTAACATTAAATACGTAAAAGTTTAAAACTTTTTTTAATTAATTTTCTATTTGAAAAGGAGTTGGTAGTGACAGTACCATAATGTAAGGAAAGAGATAGAATCAATAAACGTCGACGAGAAGAGGAGGGCAACGTAAGTCCATGCGCACCACAATCTGCTTTTCATCGTTCCTGCCGCGTCTACTATACCCATCGGGCGGAGGCAAAACATGCTCTCTTTGATGGGTAAAATGATGAATTCGAATATTACACGATGTGGGGTTTTTAAATTTATGAATAAAATAAAATAGGGTAAATGGCACTTAACCCCCTAATTATTTCACCATTTGGCATATGACCCCCTTTTGTATCAAATTGGGCATATTACCCCTTGAGGTATGATTGATGTAGCTTCCGTCACCTTTTCCTTCTAACTTAACGGTGCGTGTACATCATACCATCATAAAGCAAGTGACTGTAATGACAAGTCAATGTAGGTTAATCAGATAAGACTAAAACACCCCCACCCTTTGTTTTTTCTTTTTCTTTTTTCAGGAAAAATGTAAGGGGCAAATTGGTCCAAAACAAAGCTTCCAAATTAATTAATTGATGAATGTTAGAGTCTCACTTAGCTTTTTAGATATTATTTAATCATCAACTATAATTTACAATTTCCCTCTCAAAAATAAAAACTATAATTACCCTTATACCCTTATGCCATTTCAATTGATTTTTTTCTTTTTTAATAGAAACAAATCAATTGGTTACTCCTCTAGCAAGTGCACATGGTGTAAACTAAAACAACATGCAAAACGACAAATGAGACATGATTAAACGACATTACCACACACATGGCTTTGATTATCCAATGACATAGGTCACTAACATGGGGTTAAATTAAATTAAATTGTCATTTTCTTTTGGTCAAATCACGGTCTTCTCACTTTAGTTTCATTAAAAATAATAAAAACACCCATAAAATCTATGGTAAAGTAACTTACATGCTTATATGGTATTACCGTATTAGTAATTAGAGTTAAATGCAAGAAACTCCTGTGTATTTCTTAAAGGCCAAAATTCCCATGGGAAAAATTAATTGACCAACACCCCCTTAATAAGTGTTCAATCAAGCACACTCAACTCTTTTTTTTTTCATTGACCGCTCGTCAAAAGATCAAAAAGCCCTCCGTAAAAGTATGTCCAACCCCTAGAATTTTATGACGCGGATGAAATTTTGAAAATATTTAATTCAGCCCCTCACATTTTCAATTAAGCCATGTTCTCCAATTGAAAAAAAAAACACAGTAACATACACTTCGATTTTATTTTCTCAGCTCACATATACACACCTCACCTACCATTGTCGTCGCCATCGCCGACGCCACCTAAAGCCAGATTAAGTGACGAATTTGCAATAATAAAAAAAGGTTAAATAGGAACATAGGTAGCGGTTTATGGCCTTGTCTGATTAATAAATCAGAAATCATATTGTCTTGATTCTCATCTAGTTAATAATTTAAAATGTTCTCATCACCGAGTCGGGATCGAAAGAAACTGTTATTTAAGCAAAGTTATTAATTTATTGAGATTAATTTATCGAGGTTGTACCATATAGCACTTACTTTTCACTCTTATACAATACCAAATCTCAAACTAAAATACTACACGAAAATATGGCCTTACTTAGTAAAAATCCTGTCGTGGATATGCATAGAAAATATATAACGCTCCACTACTGTTAGCATTTGTTCTAATTCAGTTAATCAAATCCTTTGACCGACAGTTGCAAAGAGATACCGGCTTCTTTTTTTTATCGAAAATATCAAAAAAATCTCTACGTATAAATTGTTTAGTTTTTTGCCACTTTCACCAGATTTTTTGCTCTTTTCAGCCTTTTTGTTTTTCTTTATTTAGTCGTTTTTCAATATTCTAAACTCTTTTTTTTCTTTTGAATTTGCATAAAAAAACTGAAAAATTGAATAATAAAAATGAAGCTTTGCAGATTATAAATGCAAAACTCACACACACACACCCACACACACCAAAAAAAAAAACCGCAAACCCCTAAGATCTGTAAAAAAAATCTAGAATTGAAATAAAATCCTAGTTTGAAATAATGCAAATTAAAAACGAAGCTTTTCATATTATAATCGCAAAATTCCCCAAAAAAGAAAACATAAAATCCTAAGATAAAACACTAAAATTGCTTTAAAAAAAACCCTAATTTGAACGGACTCAAATTGTCAATAATCCAACAAAAAACACCTCATTTTAACTTAAAATTACATCATTAGCCGTCTAAGTTCATTGGAGTAAAGAACCCCCAAAAAAATCATCCTGTAGTTGAGAAAAATAAAATCCTAAAATTAAAATCCAGAAAAAGAAAACCCTAAAATCAAAATCATATCCTCAGACCAAAAGTTCATCCTCTTAATTTGCTCATAAAAAGTTATTCAACAGATTTCACCAAAACTTTAAGAATGATAGAAATTTTGTAGATTTTTTTTCGTGATAAATCGAACTGAGAAAGAGAGAAAGAATGAGTTGTTTAAAGAGTGAAACAAGTTTAAAAAAAATTAAGAATTCTATTAGACGCAAAGCAAGGTAAAAGAATCATTGCACACTTAACTTTAACACTGTTAAAAGTCTGATCTTTGAATTGACATAAAAAATAGAAAAAGTGTCATTGTACACTCAACTTTAACATTGTTAAAAGGCTGGTCATTGACCATAGAAAATAGAGGAGATTTGATATTTTCTATACATCATGGGATAAATAATATCTCTCGTAAAGTACCGGGGTGCAAAATGAATTTTACCCTTAAAGTAGTGATAAGTCCGTTGTTTTTATTTATTCTTTGCGTGTCAAATTAAATTAAAAAAAAAAAACAATAAATTGAATCCACTACACATTTGGTAACATTTGCTATGAATTGCGTTCACACTATTTGTCAGTATACGACTCGTATTTAATATAGTAGCAAAAGAGCAGATACGAAATCCTACTATTAGTACTAATTAATACTTATAATATTAATCTTAATCTTTTAATATATCGAAAATATTATTGCTCTTTTTTTTTTTATGAAGAACTTGTTTTATGCTACACTGTATGCACTTTACATGTTATATGTTCATACGTATTATACACACGTTCACATTTACTTATATTTATATATGTATAAATCAAATTACGTTGGAAAAAAACTGCATGTAAATCCATTGTATTATTTTCACTTTGATTATTTTTTAAATGAATTATTTTGAAGAAAACATTAAATGAATTTTCATTTATTTTCCCCTTGCCTTGCAAAACCAGTAAACAGGTCAAAAAAGGAAAATGTATTAACCTCTAGTCTTTTCAATTTATTTCCAACAATTACTTTTCCATATTAAAAAATTAAATACAAATCGGAAATATTTTCCAAAATAAATATCAAACGTTTCATAAATAATATCTGGACAGAAAGAAGTAAAATCAATACATTCCAATTTCCAACGGTGCTATAGCACACAATAATTAGCATTTAATCCCACGTAATTAAATATTTTAATTAAGAAATTAGACGTGGTTAGTTATACTATATATGTCGCACAATTCCCAAAAAGAAATTGAGACGCCTAGAGAGAGAAAGTAAATTATATATATATATACTATATAGAGTCTAGAGAGAGAAAGAGAGGGAGATAGAGAAGAGAAGAGAGAGAGAGAGAGAGAGAACGGTGTTGTGGTGTGTTCCTCGATCTGTATTTTATGAGAAAATGAGATTGGTGACCGGTAATCCTGGAGTTGTGGAAGAATGCAGTTGTGGCGGCGCCGGGGACGACGGCGGTGGTGCGGCGGTGGTTGTGGTTGCAGTGAAGATGGACTCGCCGAGTAGGGAGTTGCTGACGTGGACGTTAGTGAAGGTGGCGCAGAGCGGCGACCGAGTAATTGCTCTACACATACTCGATCCCGACGCCGGTGAGTAATTTTCACGGTTTCACACGCACGCAGTACTGTGTTTTTTTTTTGGTAGCGATTTTTTTTTCTACTTTCTACTATCTCTGTCAATCGCTTTCCGATTTTTCCACCTTGTACTGTGTGCCGGGAAAACAAAACTATTGAGTTAGAAATTAATTCGGTTTCGCAATTGTATGAATTTGTGAATTTTGTGAAAATTGCATCACTGAGTAGTGTCTGGATAAATGATTTTTTCTTCGTTATGTTTATTTTATTTTATTTTAATTGTTTTTATTTTTTGTGTGGAGCAGATAAATTGACCCTGCTTTCCCTAGTGAAGGCTTTTGATTCAGTGCTGGCTGCTTACGAAAGCTTCTGCAACCTAAAACAGGTATTTTCTGATTTTCCCTTGTACAATCTAATTTCCAATTTCTTACCTATCTCGATTTATTTTCCTTTTTTCTGCCCCTTAAAATTCAATGTAATTAGCATTTTAATCACTACTGTTTGGGGCTTTACAACTATCTAAATTTGCTTAATTGTTGAAAGGTCTGAATTCTAATTTACGGGTTAGAAGCATAAGGGGACTGTAAATTCCATCCTTGTAGCTCGATATTGCGATTTTATGTATCAAGGTAAATGGATTTGCTAAAAGCAGTAAAATTCTGTAGGTGGATTTAAAGCTTAAGGTCTGTAAAGGATCTCCAGTTCGTAAAATCCTATCTCGGGAGGCAAAATCATGTGGTGCGACGACTTTGATTCTCGGTACTTCAAGTTCAGGTGTCCATCACAAAATCAGATCAAGGATCTCTGTTGCCAAATATTGTGCCAAGAATCTCCCAAAGAATATATCAGTTATATGTGTTGATAACGGCAAGACTGTGTTCGAAAGAGAATCAAATGCGTACGGAAGTCTTGATGTGTTAGAATCGACATTAAAAAGGCGGAAGATATTACCGAAAAGCCCGTTGAGTCTACCACACCAGACAGTTTCATCCTCAAACAATGGCAATCAATATACTTCAACGGCTTTGGTACCCTTAAAAACCCAAGAAATGCATGTGTGTAAATCGAGATGGACAGTATTGCGCAGGATGTTTTTCTTCGGTCTGAAAATAACCGAAACTTCGTCTCCAAAGAAATCATCTGTGGTGCAACGGATATTAAAATTACCAAGTCGAATTGCAGCTATTTATCCGGATCAGAAACAGATTACTGTACCTGATAAGAATGAATGTCATTCAGAACTCGACTCGGAAAATGGAGCTATTGTACTGTACTCATCTGACAGTAACTCTGTTCCTTATTCATCTAATATGTTCTCTGACGAACTCAAGGCTCTTCGAGAGAAGTACTCAACAACTTGCCGATTGTTTAGCTACCAAGAACTCTTGTTAGCAACAAACAGCTTTATACCTGGTGTGTTTTGTTAATGGTTCTCCACTATATTAGTTCTCATTTCCTTTTCAAGGGTCTAATTTATTGATCTTAAATATATTTTTTCAGAAAATTTGATTGGAGTGGGGGGAAACAGCCGTGTTTACAGAGGCTGTCTACCAGGAGACAAGGAATTAGCAGTTAAAATTCTAAAACCATCGGAAGATGTAGTGAAACATTTTGTTTCGGAAATTGAAATCATCACATCTTTGCATCACAAAAACATAATATCTTTAGTCGGCTTCTGTTTTGAGGAAGACAGATTACTTTTGGTCTATAATCTCTTATCCAGAGGGAGCCTAGACGACAATCTCCATGGTATGTATATTTTTGGTTCTTCTGTTTATCAATTTTAATAGAATTTATCTTGATTACTGCCCTCTGAATTAGATGCTGGGAAGTCCGGAAACTTATTTGGTTGGGAAGAGAGATATAAAGTTGCTTTAGGAGTTGCAGAAGCGCTCGACTATTTACACAATACAGCTGAAGCAATCGTACATAGAGATGTTAAATCTTCAAATATCCTTCTTTCAGATAGTTTTGAGCCACAGGTACAATACAATTCATCATTTGCTTCATATGTGTACTATACGATGAACTACATTAATGCTAGTTTGCTGTTACAGCTGTCAGATTTTGGCCTTGCTGTGTGGGCTTCAAGTTGTTCACAACATCCGGATACCTCAGATCTCGCTGGCACATTCGGGTTAGTTGCATATATTCTCACTCTAGTTTGTACTTTGTAGTCGTTGGCAAATTATCTGATAATTGTTTTTTAATTACAGCTACTTAGCTCCAGAATATTTTATGCATGGAAAGCTAAACGAAAAAATTGATGTCTACGCATTTGGTGTTGTACTTCTTGAACTATTGTCTGGTAGAAAGCCAATTGATAATGCATTCCCGAAGGGCCAGGAAAGCCTTGTCATGTGGGTAAGTTCCTTCTTTCTCAAGTTTGAGTTCCGATATCTAGATGTTATGTTGTGTATATACTATATAGAATGGCTTCTCTAAAATCAGTTGTATTTCGTTTCTTTAAATTGGCTTAAAATATTTCAGGCGAAACACATTTTGAAGGAGGGTAAAATTTCAGAACTACAAGATCCGAAGTTGGTTAATGCGTGTAACCACAAAGAGTACGAGATAATGGTTTTAGCTGCCACCTTGTGTATCAGAACTGCACCGCAATCTCGTCCTCAAATTAGCCTCGTGAGTAACTTTATTAACTTCCGAGTTTTCTTGAAAATGCAAAATAAATGATATTACTTATATTACTTCTAGTTGATTATATACTTAAGACTGTATCTGCTACTGAAAACAGGTTTCGAAACTCCTTCAAGGCGACCAAGAAGTCGTCGATTGGGCTAGGCAGGAAACTAAATCTTGCGAAGAAATAAATTTTATCAGTAACGAACTATCCGCCACAAACATGCAATCCTTCATTAATTTGGCATTTCTTGATTTGGAAGACGATTCTGATTCTATTAGCAGCACTGAACAGAACATATCAGTGGAGGATTACTTGGGAGGTAGATGGAGCCGTTCATCAAGCTTCGATTAATTTATAATGTTCATCGTTTTTTATTCCATTCGGTAAATTGTTGTTCTGTGGTTTGTGCATATACCTAGAGAGAGAGAGAGAGAGGGTGGGGGGCGCTTTATTTGTTCTATATTGCAAGGTGTTGGATGAGAGGATCCAATGTTAAGACCTCCTCCTTTACCTGAATGAATTCATGGGGTCTCATTTTCTTGGGATTCTTTGTTCATATTTGGCTGAAAATTTGCCATTTTCATTTATCCATTATAGTAAAAGAATGAAGTAATTGTCACCCAATTTGTTTTTGTTGTACAATGTAAATTTCTAATGGCTGGAAATTGTTACTTTCAGTGTATTGAAACCCGAACCGGCCGGTTGAACTGGTTAAAACAAGAAACATTGACTTGTCCGGTCTGGTTTGGCCGGTTGAATCGTAAAATTGGGACCAGATCGAAAATTGGTTTTTTTTTTTGGCCAAAATGGTTCTTTTTTTATTACAAGAAAAATAAAAATAATAAACTAAAATGTCTAAAACAACATCATTTTACTGCTCAGCTGAAAAAAAATAATTAAATCAAAATAAAAAATTAAATGTAAATGATTATAAAATAAAAAAATAAAAACCTCAGTTGAACCTCTGTTGTTCAACCGTAACTCAATAGCTTGTCCGGGTCAGTCAATATTCGGTCCGATTTTTATTACATTAGTTAATTCTCTCCTTGATTTCCATTTGACCAAACGGTTAGTTAGATGTTCCATTCATTATTTAGTAGTTTATTTTGCATTAAACTTTTTTTTAGAAGTGTTTTCTTGATAGAGATGGTTTTTTCTTGGTCCTTTTCAGCAATTATTTTCTATCTCTATATTATTTATTTATTATTATTTTTTTTGGGTATTAAATTCCAAATATGCTAAACAAATATGTTATGTCCATACAATTAGTGATGGTTTACATCAAAGCTTGGACATTGACTTGTTTAGAACCATAGATTATAAAGTGAACTACACATACACACCACCTCACATTTAAATATACATACATGATATATCTATTTCCTACTAACTAAAGTATGCATATTTTTACAATATTTCTTAATTTTATATTGCCTGTTTTGATCTCGATCACTATACAATAATGTGAGTTAATGATGGCTAATTATTTAAATCTATTAAAATTATAAAGAAAAGAAATCAAAATTAATTGTGATTGATGAACAACTCATTTAATTAAGTAGTTAAATTGTCATATTCCATCAATTTTTTTATTTTTTTTTTGTCAAAAACACTTGATTAACACTTAAGGCATAAATTATAAAAATAATGTATTTTGAAATGAGAAAAATAAAATATTAAATTAAAATTCGACCGGTAAAGTAATGAAAAATGTAGGGACAATGTATACTTTTTTTTAATTAGAAAAAGAAAAGAAAAGAAAACAAAAGAGATGAATATTTAATGTTTTGTAATACTTTATTTTACCTTCAATTACTAAACTATAACGTCTTAATTATAGCTAATTATGTGAATTTGAAAAAAAGAAGAAAAAAAACTTAAATTAATTGTCATTGATGAAGAATTCATATAATTTAATTAAGTAGTCAAGACTCAAGTGTCACATTTCACCAAATTTTGTCAAATAAAAATTGCCTATCATTTAATGCATTCAGTATATTAACTAATAAATATAAATGAATTTTGAATGGGAGAAAAAAATAAATAAAACTGAACTTTGACAATAAAAGTGACCAAAAGTGTGAGCATGAATATTATTTTTCAATTTATTTTAATTATAAAAGAAAAGAAATAAAAACCCTGTGGTTGGAAAATTATGAATATCTCAACTCACTTGATTTGAATGATGATTTTTAAATGACATTTTTACCCTTGATTAGATAGTGAGCACATTACATTGTTCACCCCTAAAGTTACGTACAATTGTATATAGACTCCTCATGCTTTAAAACATAACAAACACCTAAAAGTATTTTCTAATATTCGACTTTAATTTTAGGGTGAATGGCAAAAAGGGTCCTCACATGGGACTTAAATGCATTTTGGTCCACAAAAAAAACAGTCTCTCAATTAAACCCATTCCCATGTCTTTAGTCTAAAATACCCTCAATAATATAATTCTTATCAATTCCACCCATTATGCTCTAACTTCCTTAATATTACACATTGACCTCGGATTTAAACAAATATATCACATTAACTCCCAAAACTTTTTTTTTTCAGAAAATAATTTTTTTTCTGAAATATTTTTTTTCCGGCAGATTCCGGCCAGTTTCCGGCGTTGACCGCCCGAGACCGGCGATCTCCGGCGTTGACTTTTTTTTTTTTTTGAATTTTTTTTTCTTAGAAAAAAAATATTTTAATTAATATTACTGTTTTGGCTACTAAATTACTGTCTCAGACGGGACAGTAATATTATGAATATTATTTTCGCGAACAGTAATATTATTAATGTTATTGTCTAAGACAGTTAAATTACTGTTGGAGACAGTAATTTAGCATCCAATGCAGTAATATTAATTAAAATATTTTTTTTAAGAAAAATAATTAAAAAAAAAAAATAAAGTCAATTAACAGTTAAATTAGTGTCTCCGACAGTTAAATAACTGCTGGAGACAGTAATTTAGCAATGAATACAGTAATATTAATTAAAAATATTTTTTTTAAGAATAAAAAAGTCAATTAACAGTTAAATTACTGTCTCCAACAGTTAAATAACTGCTGGAGACAGTAATTTAGCAACGAATACAGTAATATTAATTAAAATATTTTTGAAGAAAAAAAAAAGTCAATTAACAGTTAAATTACTGTCTCCGACAGTTAAATAACTGCCGGAGACAGTAATTTAGCAGCCAAGACAGTAATATTAATTAAAATATTTTTTTAAGAAAAAACAAAATTATAAAATTAAAAAATAAAAAAAAAAAAAAAAAAAAAAAGTCAACGCCGGCGACCGGCGGTCTCCGGTGGTGGCGGGTCAAAATTGAAATTAGGGTTAAAATTGGTTAATTGATGAAATTGGGCTAAATTGGGTGTAAATTATGAAATTGGAGTTGAATTGAGTTTCAATGAATTGGGGGTAATTCTGGTATATCTAAAAGGATTTTCCTTATTTGCAAATAAGTTTGAATGGGCTGGATTTATTTGAAAGACAAAAAAGTTGGATGTCCCTCTTTTAATTAAGTGCCCTTGTCATGGGCCTATTTGCCATTACCCCTTAATTTTATTTACTAAAAAACTGCTAGACAAAAATTGTCTAATAAATTTGTTATGAACATCATTACAATTTTTTTTTATTGACACAAAAAAAATTCTACACTTAATGAATTTTGGTTATAATATTTGGTATTTTTATAAAATACTAGTAACTCACCCGTGCGATGCAAGGGGATCAATTTAAGTACAATTTTTTAATGACAAAAACACGTCAATGAGGTAAATCAAACACCTTTATGAATCAAAAGAGGATGTTAATGTGATGTATGGGGTAATATAAAAAATGAAAAATATGTTTTAGATAAAATAATCGAACGAAAACTTTAAAAAGTATGTTTTAGATAAAAGAGGATGCTAATGCGATGCATGATACAAAATATGATATAATCTAAAAAGTTTAAAAACAATATCAATTCCATTTGATTTAAGTACCGATGTAAACAAAATAAACGATAAAAAGAAAATATAAAATACATAAATTGTTATATGAAATATAAGATACATTATATGACTCAAATGATACAACTATCTTGTCCAATACCTCGGATCGTTAACATCAACTTAATTATTAAAATAATGTTTTATAGCACATGCATTGACATCGCCTATAACACTTTTTACGAGTAACATGCACATTTTTCATTGTTTAAATGCAATCAGTGGTACACATTACTGAAACATAATCACCTAAAAGCGTACAAAATAAATACAATTTGTACAGAATCACCTTGTTTTTAAAAAAACAAATTCAATGGAGTAGACATAAAATTGGCATAAAATGAAAATAAACTAACATGGTAAAATAATTATACATGTAAAAAATACAAACAACAAATATATGTTTGAATGACAATATACAATTTTTATGTACATTTATATACCCTCAAAATCTTCCTAATAGACAATATTGAAAGTAATATTAGTCGTCATTTCCGACTTGATGAATATCTTTATGCCACTGTATGAATTTTGGTTATAATATTTGTATTTTTATAAAATATTGATATATAATTTAGACATTACTATATAAGGGTAAATTACGGCCACCCCTAAGGGTGGTTAAATTACGGAAAAAAAATCATCATATTTTGGTAATTAGTACAACCACTCGTTAACTATGAATCTTTTTACACGTTTATCCTTACGGTATTAAAGTTAGTGGAATCTTTTAGATTACTGAAATGATTTACGCGGCAGCAAATTTACGAATGTCATTCACAATAGTCTTTTCTTTCTCTCTATAAAAATCCTCAAATCCACCCAAACCCCAAATTCCCCAAAAGCCCCAAAATTCACAAAAACCCTCAACCTCTCTCACAAATCCTCCCAAATCCGAAAATCTCGCCAATTTGAAAGGTAATTAATCATCTAAAGTAGTTATATATATTAAATTTGTGGTTAATCATGTGAAAATCCCATGAAAATCGCGATTTGGAGCTGTTTTTAGTGTTGGGTTTTCGAATTTTCCACGCCCAAAATGGGCGTGGGACAGCGGTTTCCACGCCTGGTTTAGGCGTGTAAACTGCTTTCCCACGCCCATTTTGGGCGTGGAAAATTACTTCGGGCGTCCGATCCAGACGCCGGTTCTGGACCGGTCGTCCGGTTCAATTTTTTTTTTTTTGCCCAGTATAACAGAAATGAATGAGTACATGTAAATAAGTATTAGTTAACAAAACTTGGTGTAGCATAGTTGGTCAAGCATTTCGTCTATTGAATAATAGACCTGTGTTCGAGGAGTCTTGCTAGCAACGCGTATTTATTAATTTTTTGCCCAGTATATTAATATATTTAAGTAAGAATCTGATATTAATATGAGTGTAACTTTTTTGCCCAGTAATGAAATAATTAATATATTTAATGCCCAGTATAATGAAATAATTAATATATTTAAGTAAGAATCTGATATTAAAATGACTGTAACTTTTTTGCCCAGTATAATGAAATAATTAATATATTTAAGTAAGAATCTGATATTAAAATGACTGTAACTTTTTTGCCCAGTATAATGAAATAATTAATATATTTAAGTAAGAATCTGATATTAAAATGACTGTAACCTAGTATAATGAAATAATTAATATATTTAAGTAAGAATCTGATATTAAAATTACTGGAACCTAGTTGGTTAGGCAAGTTGATACTTGTAATGTACCCATGCGTGTACGAATCCTTAGTATCACCAATATGTATGGTTTTTTTTTTTTTTTAACTGTCAGCACGCGCGCCCAAACCGGGCGCGGAAAGCTGTATTTCGCGTTTTTTTAAACTGTCAGCACGCGCGCCCAAACCGGGCGCGGAAAGCTGTATTTCGCGCCCAAACCGGGCGCGGGAAGTACTTTTCCGCGCCCAAACCGAGCGTGAATCGAGCTTTTTTGCGCTAGTTTGGTCGTGAATCGTATTTTTCGGCGTCCAAATTGGTTGTGAGTCGCGTTTTCGTGATTTAAAGAACAAAAACGAACAAATTTTACCTCATTGAGTTCCGTATTTCGATCCTCATTCGATGCACTCATTTTTCTTTGTAAATCGCTACAATAACATGGGTTTTGGAACAATTTCTAATATAAAAGCTATTAAAAATAAAATTGTAGAGAGAGAAAGATAAGTAGAGAGTGGATTTTTTAAACCCACATTCGTAATTTTGCTATCGCAAATATCACATCCCTTTAGATTATGTGTAATATTCTCTATTTTAAATCTGTTTTATCTCATTCGAGCTTCAAGTTTTGAAACAAGATGATCATAAGATGTATTTCTTGGCTTGTAAACCTCAGATTGTGGTGCACCAGAAACTGTTTTTTTGCACAAAACAAGTACAAACTAGAGAACATTTCACGAAATTTAGAAGATTTTGTTAGATTTAACATCGTAATGAGGGACATGTAAAAAAATTTATAGTTAAATAGTCGTTGTAATTACATAAACAGAAGGAGGTTTTTTGATAATTTGATTTTACCCGGTGACAGTGTCCGTAATTTACCCTAATTTATAAGATACAACTCTAAATCATTCCTTAAAACCAACAAAAAAACATGCCACACAATTTAAAACCCTTTGTAATAAGCCAATTAATGTTGACATTCCTTTTGGTTTCTGAATAATTGCAAAACCCTTTTTTTCTAAAATTGTAAATCGTTTTGTAAAACCCTCCTCTTCGGCAAACTCTTCACCATTTTCGTTTTACAATCAGATTCTCAATCCAGGTACTCATCTCTGCTCTTTCGTTCATCACTCCCGCTGTGATTTATGTTTTGATTTTTGGGTTTTGAATTTTGGGTTTTTATTTTGACGCTATTGAACCAAGCTTGAAGATCTTATGCTGATTTGACCCAATTCTTTCAATTTAAGTTTTGGGTTTTTGTGTGCTGATTTTGTGAACTTGACTCGTGTGATTTTGATTCTTGATTTCATTTTTATGTCTATATGGGAAGCAATAGAGCTCAAAATTGAGCATAGGGTGATTGATTAATGTACAAGGAAGTTGAGCCCAATGTATGTTGTTTGATTTTTTAGCTAAGTGCTAGAGACTCGGATCGCTCGTTTTTACGTACGCCATTATGATATAGTAATTCATTGGCCCCCGTTCTCCATTCGGGTGTGCATAATTTTCATTTTTATTTTGGGAAAATGGTGTTTTGAATTTTGATAGAAGATAATTTATACTGTATGTCGAAGTCGTAGCAGCCGTGGCAGTCGATTCTTTTCCAAATGTGATGGGAGAAAAGTACTTTGGAGAGAAGAAATTTGAAAATTAAATTGTTGTAGAGAGAGAGAGAGCCACTTTTGTTTTTGTTTTTCTATTTTGTTCGAAAGATTTCGTTTTGGAAGAACAATGGAAAGAATTTGAGAAAAGGGCCAAACGAAGCCTATATTTACCAGATTATCACAGCGAGTCCCCTGATGAATTAATGAGCAATTGACGGAAATTTTCGGTATTAATATGTTTTAGTCAGTCGTGTTTCATTTTGTATTAGAACATAATTTATGCATGTGTGTGTGTGTGCGCGCGCGCGCGCGCACTGTAATATTTCGATGTTTTGAGATGGCTGTGATAAAGCTATTGCGGTCATTGATGTGTGTATGCAAGAACTATAGTTTGTCGACAATTAGTTCATATTGTAGATATTTATTGCTGTTGTTATTTGATTATTTTTTTCGTAAGTTTACATCTACATAAAATATACAAATAAAAAATTTTTTTTTTTTTTTTTTAATACGACGGGACAAAAGAATGTCGAACGAGGGCAAAGCAGAAGATATCAGTCCTTTACAAAGTGGCGATGGGCAGCAAGAAAGAAGCCAGGTGGCGGCTGCCCATTGGGGAGGTCCAATAGGAGAGCAGTATAGGAAAATGAAAGAGCATGCAGAAACTTACCCTTACGTTTGGGGTTCATATATACTTGTGTACGGTGGATTTGGCCTTTGGTTGACCTACAGATGGAGAAAGCTCCGTAAAACTGAAGACAGAGTTCGAGGTCTACAAGAGAGACTACGTAAACTCGTCGAGGCTGAGAAATCGACTAGCTCTGCTACAGTTACAGAGCAGTCACCAAACTCTGCGTCACTGACAGACAAGCTGCCTTCTTCGTCTGCTGATAAAGCCACGAAATAGTTAACGGTTATATACTAATGCTAAAGTTTATTACGTCACTTCGGGAGATTTTGTTTTGCAGAGGCTGTTTGCTCGAATGTTTTTTTGTAGTTGGCAGAAGCTTTAAGTTTAATGAAAATGAATTGTGTTATCTCACGGTCGAAATATTTCGACTTCGTTTTTTTTTCTGCTCTAATTGTCTTTCGTACGGTACACGTTGAAGACTAGCTTACGCAATTAGGGTTTATTGTTAACAAGAGTATTTTGTAGATGATTTGTTTTCATATAGTAAATACTGTTGCTGAGGAGTTCATTTCTAATATTTTTTACTTCATATTTTTTTTATAAGAATTCAAATTATTATTTTTTTGACTAACTAAAATTACAGAATCGTCGAATGATTAATATTATTGACCTCATAATGCACCACTAACTTTTCTTTCAATCTTACGGAAATTATACCAAGTGTAATAAACATTTGGCAATTGACATTCAAACGACAATCGGAAATACTTTTTAGAAATTTGTGATCGAGTTTTTCACAATTTTGAGCACAAAACTATTTTGAGATCAGTACATATTGTTTTCTAATTCCGAATATCAGCTCTCGAAACAATAACAAAACCTTATATTAGGAGATCAGATTTCCAGGGAAATCATACTTAAATGATAACAATAAATCGCCCAACGAGAAACTTGAGAGGTTTAGGATATAGCACAATCCGCGTGTCTCTACAACTCGATAACATCGTCCTCGTTTCCTTTTGTAATGTTCAACTGATCAAGCTGAACGTACAATGCAGCTATTTGCCTGTGTATTTTTTCTCCTTTATCAGGTAGCCTTGAGACTGCAACCTGTATAAGAATCATATAATACATGAGCATCATCAAATCCCGACGTAAATTTATTAGGTACAGCGAAAATACATTGCCTCATATTAGTTTACATCTGTGTTATTCTCACATCAGTCGTATATTCTTTTTTTTTTTTTTCTTATTTGACAACATATGAATATGAATATTTCCCGATTGATATTCACGAGCTACGAAAAATTATACGAACTTTCCAGATTAGTGTAACTCACATGAATAGCACAAATCATATGTTGAAAGGAGCAAAAAAAATCCAAACTTCAAACAGTAACTCAGCGGCTTTCATGAATACTAATTCAGTAAGTTCGAAAAATTCATCAATCTGAAAATGCTTACCGTATTAAAGATGTCGGATAAGCGATTAATTCTCTCTCGGATTTCCTCTGCTGATGGTTCTTTAACATCAGGACTTGAATTCCTCTGAAATCTCTTTACATCCTTGGGGTTGTATGCGTATTGCGCCCTGTATAAAGAAATTAAATTATTATCACATGAACAATCAATCATTAACAAATTATGGTCAAGAATGACGAATATATTTTTTCTTTATCAACAACAATACCCATCAACATTACGCTCCACATATGGTCGTGTAGATGCATTCCCTACGAATGTACTCCCTTTTAACCTGTAGACGGAACGAGGGGAGTAAGTATTTCTTTTTCTTACAAAGATATAGACAGACAATACATATAAACGCAGTGTTTACATTTTTCCAGAAATCAGTAGCAGGAGACACAAATTCAAGATTATAATTTCGGTGAAGGAGATAAGGGCCACCTATCCAGTTATTTATGCATTGTTGCAGAAAGAAAAAACCCATAAAAAAAGAGGAAGCTGAGATACGTTTCACTAAGAAAGATCCGTTTCTTTTACTTTCTGTCGTGGGAGAACAAAGGGAATTGAACACATGCGACTAATACAAGACTCACTTTTCTTGTTCGTCCTCTATTTCAATAGTTTGTACAGGCGCTGCCTTCGAAAATAGCAGACTATGCTGGCTAACTCCGGCAATGTTGAGAGTTTGAAGGAACTCTACATGTGCTTTGAGCGACGGTTCCCTGCGGATAAAATGGTAACTATTAGAATCTCTAAGTTAGAGTTACAAAACGAAAGTGTAAGAATTCAATCTTTAACAATAATGCACTAGCAAATCAATTAATATATGTTGGAAATACGGAAGTAAAACATAATTATGCACGCCACGCTTGTTTAATGAATGAAATACGTTTGTAACAAACTCATACATTATATGCTGTTCATCATGCTCTTCAAGCAACTGTTGTTGAGTGAGAGAAATATCAAATCCTTGTTTGGGCAAATTGAAAAGATCCTTGAGGTCCTGAAAAGTTGAACACGAAAACACAACAAGGGCCTCAATAAAGTGATAACAAGAATATAATTTATATCACCAGCCAAATATGAATGTCTTATTAATTTGGATTAGGGGTGGGCATTCACTACCCTCAGATAAAATATGATTGGAAATGGGTATTCGGGTGGTATTGTGATTACCCGGTTACATAGCTTCAGTTCGGTTATTGGAAAGCAACTTTCCTATCAAATAAGCTTTCAGGCAACCAACTACTTTAATTAAAAAAAAAATCCTATTTTCTTCCTAAACCCCTAATATGTGCGCATCAGACTACAACTACAACAAGTTTCTCCCCTAAGCCCCTGACTGAAAAAGCGCATAAACATTTAATTTTAAAGAATACCTGTTGGCTGAAATAACGAATCTGTTCTTTATGTTCAGTTGCACTTCTGAATAATCCTCCTTTGAATACCTGGAACAAAGGTATAAAAAAAATTGCATATACAGCTAAAAGTAAGAACTCCCTTCAAAATAAATAAAAACCCGAATGCAAAAAAAAAATGTGCCAAAAGATGAAAATGTGTGATAATGAATGTTAGAATTTGCCAACCTGCTTTCTATAAATTTTCTCCTCCACGGTGCCACATGTCATCAGTCTGTAAACGACAACATCCTTCTTTTGTCCAATCCGGTATGCACGATCTACACTCTGACTGTCAGTGCTGCAAAAGTTGTAAACAAACTTAACAACGCAAAATAATTCAAAATAACTCTTGTGGTTGGAGCAAAGGCAACAAAATATCTTATCAATGACAAACATCGTATGGTGAAAAATCATGAGAAAAACAATACAAAAATACTACAGATGTAAGTTCAAGAGAATAATTATCCAAAAAGAAAACTGGAATGAAGAATAATTGGTTCCATGTTTCATTTGAAGAAATTAATATTTTCAATAAATGAATCACAAATAAAAATGTAAAAAAAATTAAGAAAACAAACCTCGGATTCCAAGCAGGGTCAACCACAATTACACGATCGGCGTTGGTTAGTGTAAGGCCCAATCCACCAACTTGGGAAGTCAAGAGAAAAATTGGCGCTCCACGGCCCTCTTGGAAATCCTTAAGAAAAATGAAATAAATGTATCAAAAATATTGTTTCTTTACATGATTTCTTTCATTTATATTAAATAAGAAGAAGAAATAAAACCTTGACGATTTTAGCTCTATCAGCAATTTTGGTAGTCCCATCTATACGCATGTACTTGTATTGATTGGCCATCAATGATTCCTGAGTAACAAGATATAGTTTGAATAATGAGTTTCCACAAAAGAAAAGTCGTGATGCGTGTTCTGATGGCAAATGTGGGAGAAGAAAATACAAGAGAGTAAAAACTCAAGTGTTAAATGAAAATTATGATAAATCCTAGTTAAGTGAATAACCTGCATAAAAGGAAAGGCTTCATAAAATTCTCATTCTATCTAAGCATCAAATTTCTCTTGAACACCACAGTAACTTAAATATTAACCTGCTACTAGAAAGTGAACCTCAGATTTCGTCAGAATATATTAGGGTAGAAAATTGATTTTTCAAACCCTGTTTTGGATTAAATTGTGATTTTGACAAGATAGCTATAATATCATGTTATGTGTTTAACGATAAAAGATGTGTCTAGTTTCCACATATCAGCACCTGCTTTGATGAATTTCTTGCAGTAACATTATATCATTATGACGAGAAACGCAAACTGCAAATTATAGATGAGCTTGATTTAATGAAGCACATAATGAACAGAATGTCAAACATCTAATACTAGACTAACCTGAATTATATTAAGCATCTTCCGAGTTTGTGAAAATATAAGCACGTTGTGTCCCTTTGGAACTAAATCAGCCTGTAACAAAAAGATTGACATATGGTGTGAATTTTACCATGCAAAAATAGAAATAAATTACGCATAGTTGTTCAATGAAGGGCCTTACCAGTAAAGATAATATAAACGATAATTTGCAAGAGATATCATGATTATCAACAATGTCAAATCTCTCAGCAACATCTGCCAAATGCATTGCCAATTTTTCGGCGACACGTTGATCGTCCTGGTTCACACTTGAATCCAACCCTTCTAGAACATCTTCAGCAGCTCTTTTTGTCAATAGAAGTGGATGATCACATATTTTTTTCAAGATCTGTTAACAAAAGAAGAATCAGTCTTTCTAGATAACAGGTTGCGCATAGAGTGCCAAATGCTGAAAAGAGGGATTACATTTTCGAGCACAATCTAATTAAATAGATTAATTGTTTGTCAACATTCACTAGATAGATAGCTTTAAGACGTTATTAATTGTTTGTCAACATTCCATCAGGATAAAATATAGGTATTCATTTATATCTGGACTGCATGAAGATATTAACTACCCTGTTCTTTCTTGAGCCAAGAAATTGTCATATATAGACAGATACAACAGAAACGCAGATGAAACTTCAAGAAGATAAATAGCATGCTCTATTATGGAACACTCTTGTGGATAGCATGATGACAAAGACGACAGTCTAGAAATCAACGAATACAAATAGTTTGTTGGTTAAGACGGACTTGATAACATGGCAGATAAAGCACATATTAAATAGATAGTTAAAACAATCATTTCATAAACTTATGTTATGTCAAAAAAACTTTCGACAGAGGTTAATGGATATAAACTAAAATCGCAAAGAAAATAATAGTTTATGCATATTACCGTAATTGCAGCAAGAGGGGAACCATCACAAGCTGAGATCACAATCTCACTGTTTAAAAAAGCTGCGTAAAGTTGACGCTGGATTCATGACGAAAAAAAATATACACTCTTTAAGTTAATTCTTCTAAAAAATAAAAAGGTTATGGTAATTGAAAATATGAGGGAATAGAATGTATTGAACATATACCTGGCATTGAGTTAATCGTAGCCATACAATAATCTCATTCTTCTTGGACAGTGAGGTATTATCCTGAAATACTTCGCTTTTCATTCGTCTCAAAAAATATGGTTGAATGCAGTCTCTCAGGTTCTATCAACATAAGAGTCAATTAGATATAGTTGACATGCCAAATAAAGGATATATTCAATCAAGTTGACAAGACATTTAACAGGTTAAAAACTAAAATTGTGAACAATCACCTTTGCAACAGATGAACCAATGCGCTTTTCCCTATCAGAGGCATTTTTCTCGTTTCCTCGATTAATGAAGTGCTCATATTTTTCCTTAAACCTAAAATGAATAATAGGATAAAAGCATCAACTTATGCCACAGTAACTTGACAAATATATGGAATTTGAGCTTGGTGGATAGATTACTCTTTCTTGTCGCCTAGCAGCTCAGGACAACAGAAACTAAACAAGGCCCAAAGTTCCTACAGAGAGAGAGAGAAGCAGTGCCATTAATATTCAATTTTTCCACTGATTCTTGTATGCAAAAAATAAATACATAGGAAAATAAACATTGTAAATAAAAATACAAAGTGGCAAACCATTATTACCTTTAAATTGTTCTGGAGTGGAGTGCCACTGATAATGATGCGATGAGCACAAGGTATCTGAAGCAACGACTTTGCCCTTTGTGTACTTGGATTTTTTATAAGATGGCCCTAAAAATTTAATTAATTTTAAACCTTAAAAGTTAATAAAATCGAGCAAGTCAGTGCATGGAGGAGACATATTGCATAGAGAGAACTAAAGAAAAAATATCATTGTTAGTCTTGAATGTATAATTAAGAAATATAGATTTACTTCATCAAGAATCATATAATCCCATCTCATTTCATCTTCTCCATCATCGCAGTAACGATGATCTCCACACAAGGCTTTTGTATTGTTCCGCACAATATCGTATGTTGTTAGAAGAATACCTTTGTCCTGTAAGAAGAGAAAATATTCAGTACAAAAAAAGTGAGAAACGATGTTACAGGACGAAAAAAGGCAATCTAGAGTCATTGCACTAATCTTCACTCGAGTATTTGCACTGCAAAAATACAGCAATTGATGTGCAATGGGAATATACGGCAGAGACAAGGAAGTTAAGAAACCATGTCGAATAAAAAATGGGTCTACCTTTTGCATTTTCTTGATCTTCCTGCATGAAGATATACTTAAACATAGGACCATACTTTTTTCCTAAAGTCATTTCACATAATAAGAGTGACGCAACAGCTACAGACTACGAGCTCGGTTTATGTTAAACGTCTACTAAGTGCAAGAGTTGATAAGTTATTAGATCTTATTTTAGAGATTAGATGTTGAAGTGTTGGATATGGAGTTGAAAACCTGTATTTAGATTTTATAAGTTTTTAAATAGTTATTTCTTATATTTTTCCTATATAAAGTATATTAAAATATTTTCATAAATATTGTAAACTCATGTAGCTTGAAATAAAAAGTTTAGTATGTAATTTATAAACAAAAGTAAAAATGAAAATACCTGAAGTACATACTGCAGCTCATAGTGTCGTAATTTTGCGCAAGTTGAAAAATACCTGAAAATAGGAAGAAAACGTTAAGACTCTGATAAGCATCATATCATAAGTTCACATTTACAGAAATTCAGAGAGTAAAATCAATAGAATGACATACTCTCTCGTCTTATCGGAGAGCCCAACTGTTGACAGCTCATTTGTCCAATGGGTTAATAGTGTTTTTGGGGCAACAATCAACACCCTCCGAGTCAAATTGGAATGGAACAGTCCAGCTAAAAAGCTACAAATCTGAGAAGAAAAAAAATTATAGAGGTCAATCGTATACAAGGTCATTATAGAAACTATTAAAACAATTAACAATAAAATTTATTTACTTTTTTTACCTGCATTGTCTTGCCAAGGCCCATATCATCACCCAAAATTCCACCTTTACCCATACAATGAAGAGACCAAAGCCACTTTAAGCCTTCGCGCTGATGTGGATACAACATTTTTGCCATTTTAGCAGATAACCTGTATGTGCCCTTCAGACCACTCAACGTGAAATCCTCTACATCACCATCCACTATGCTGACATCATCAGCTTCGTCATCGTCAGACACTTCAATGAACTTCCCTTGCTTCCCGTCCACTCGTTCACTCAAAAATGCATAATTGTCAGAATTGCAATCTTTCTCTTGTCTTTTATAATTGTAAGCTTTAGATTCTTTTGCAGGCTCTGGCTTTACATGTGCCTTCATAAATTTATTATCTTTAAACCCTCGAGAGTTATCCATGGTTCTGTTGGCCTTACCAAAAAAACCATCATCCTTTACATCAGCATTGCGATTCTTTTTCTGTGGCAGTTCATTGGTAACCGCACCTCCAAATTTCGACTTTGTTGTCTCTGTTAAAGTATCGGACGAAAGCAGAAATGAAGTAGCGGAAGCAGCTTGATATTCAGGTGATCCCTCGTTTATGGTCACGTCATACAGTTTACTTCTTACTGGCTCCTGCAACTCGACTTTCTTGGGTAGCTTTTTCTTCTCAATGGACAGAATCTCAAACCTCGAGCTCAAATCATTCAGTATGTCTCTGATTTCATTTCCTTTACTCTCGCATGATTTGTTCGCTTGAAAAGGCGAATCGAAATCCGAAATGCCATCTGGTTTTGGCTCTTCCTCTCTTGTCAAATTCTTTCCTGCCTCAGCATCACTGTCTGCTATTTTGCAGAGGCGACGTCTGCCTTTAATTCTCACCTTTGTTTGCCTTTCTTCTCCTGCAATTGTTTCTACATTGACAAAGTCCATGAATATTAAATATATTAAAGATTCGTGAATCTTATAATGATAGATATGCGGGATAACAGGAAGAGTCAGCAAATACCTGGGAAACTAGAACCAAATTCAGTAATACTAGATACTGAAGATGTTTCCTTGGCAGTATTAACTTCTTCAGGTATTTTTCCACTCTCTTGCTCAATATGCTCATGTTCGAAACCAACTGATCAATTCATTGACATATTAAACCATCTTAGAAAAAGTAAGAATAGATAGTTCTGAAAACAATACAAGGGAAAGAGAGACGTAAGGACCGGAGTATGTCTGTTCAATAGAATAGAAAATTGCAGGTTCTATACCTGGGAGATTGGCATCATATTCAGATGAGTCATAAATAGTTGGATTTATCTCAGAATAATTGTCATCTTCTTTAGCAGTATTTCCTCTTTCATGCGGTTCAGAGGCTTTCAATACATTTGTCAGAAAAAAAATTATTAGTTTATCTTAAACAAATGTAAGGAACAGGATATGCCTGTTCAACTAAATTAGAAAATCGCAGATTCTATACCTGGAAAATTGGTATTATATTCATATGAGCCAGAAGTAGTAGGATTTGTCTCAGACGAACTGCCGCCTTCTTTAGCAGTCTTTCCACTTTCATGTGGTTCAGCGGCTTTCAGTACATTTGTGAAAAACCAAAAAATTATTAGCTTATATTAAACAATAAATAAATAAATTATGTAGCAGATATCAGAGTAAGGGATTAAAGTAATTAAACACTGACACAGGAGGAATACAGAGAGTACAATTAAATGTATAAGAATATCATTTTCTCGAATATTGACAGAAGTTTCAGTAGTGAACCTCGATAAATACGCAATAATCCACAGAGCAGATACACACTGAATACCCTCACTATCCTTTATTTCTAAGTTCTCATTTTGTTAGTAAAACATACTAGTTTAGAGTTCAAGACTACAATTTCATGTATGTTTATGTTCGTAATTTTATCCTCAGAAAAAATGGCTTCTACAGATAATTATGGTCAACCCATATTTTGTAAGTAAGTCTACTTTGTAGAACAAGATTACTAATCTATAAAAAGGTGCGTAACAAAAGATAGAAATAAAAGTCACTACACTCAAGTAACTTTACACGCAATTACGCAGGGCCAAAGAAAACTACAGAGAGGTCAGAATACATACCAAGAACGGAAGAAGGAGAATCAAAATCAGAAAAGCCACCATACAAGCACGGAGATGATTCCTTAAGCTTTGACACAGGCTCTTCATCATTCACTTTCCGTGCATCAATTTAATACAAAAAAAGATATCTCATTTTCCTCAAACAAAAACGAAATTATTAATTTAAATATATACAAGGAAACAAAAATACCTTGAACAGGCGGAGAAGGAGTACCGAAGTCAAATCGGGGAACATCGTCAAATCTCTCATTGGGCTTTACCGTTGATTGGATTACATCATCGACTAAGGTTTCCAAAAATCAAACCACAAAAAATAAAAATAAAAATTAGGGCAAGGATAAACTCACGTGTATAACTACAGATATGCATATTTAAACATGTGAAATTATAAAAATTTACCTGGTTTTGGTTTGGGTTGATTAGGTTGAGAAGCAGAGAGGTCGACAAGATATCGGCTGTGAAGCTGATTGAGGCTCATCGCCGGCTTCCTATGGCCGTCCGCCATTGACGATCTTCTGGTATTGTCAGAGTGGATTTTGGACGAGGGTTTGTTCTTCACTTCCCGCTTTAGAGTGGAAATTTGAAATTTGGTAAATGAGAGAGAGAGAGAGAGAAGAAATCAGAGTTCTTATTGGGGTCTGTGTGTTGAGGGGGTGTTTGGTTTCGAGGGTGAAGATAAACGGAGTTTTGGAAATAATTGGAATGGAAGAGGAAATAATTAAGATTTGTTGTTCCTCAAAATCTGAAAATAATTAAGATTTTAATTTTAATGACCGTTGGGAAAAAAGTTTAAGCTTTTTCAAAAACTTTCCCTAAAATAATTCAAACATTTTATTCAACTTCTACGGTAAAAAAAAAATATATATCATTTTTCTCAACATTTTTGTTAGGGTAAATTACGGCCAAGGTCAAATTAAAAAAAAAAAATTCCTCATGTTTGGATAATTACAACCACCCCTCAATTATGAATCTTCTTACACGTTCATCATTGCGGTGTCAAATTCAGTTGAATCTTCTACATTACGTGGAATATTTTCCAATTTGTACTCGTTTTACCCCATTCGAGCTCTAAATTTTAAAACAAGATGATTATAAGATGTGTCTCTTGGTTTGTAAATATCAGATTGTGGTGCATCAGAAACTGCGTTTTTTACACAAAATGAGTACAAACTAGAGAACATTCCACGGAATTTAGAATATTATGTTGAATTTGACACTATAAGGGTGAACGTATAAGAAGACTTATTAGTTGAGAGATGTGATTGTAATTATCCAAACGAGGGGGGTTTCTTAATTTAACCTTACCTCGTGGATGGCCGTAATTTATCCTTAAAAGAAACTACATACACTTGAAGTGCATTGCCTAAACTCTGTCCCGGTGCAAATAGTCCGTAAACTGAAAAAATTTTGTGATAAAAAAATATTAATTAATTCGTCTCAATTCAATCCCACTAGTCCGTTAAGCAGATCTGACCCAATAAAAGCCCATAAATGGACACAAAGCTCGCATAAAGGGGCCGCCGACGAGAATCTTCCAACGAAGTACTTGCGAGCAACTCTTACGAACAAGTCAAGAGAGGGATAACCTCCTTAGTCAGCTACAATTAACCGAGACACTTGCTCGCCTGGGCGATGTGACATCATTTAATGCACGTCCCATTGGCTGACAGGTTCAGAGAATGTTTGCTACTTTCGGCAAGTGCGGCTATTCAAATATTCACCTAACACGACAAAGTAAATACAATTGAAAGATAATTTTGCATTCATATATTTTTTTGTCCAGAAGTGATTGGATAGGGTTTAACTGAATTGAGGAAGAAATTGATGTCCGAACATTTTCCTATAAATACCAGATATCATGGGCCATACGAGGTAAGAAACCTACAACTCAAGAACTTATAATTAAACGGGAGAATTTTGTTAAGAAAATTACTGACTTGGGCGTCGGAGTGCTAACGGCATGTTAAGTAAATAACAGGTTAAATATGTATATTAGTAATTTCTCGACCAACCCACTTCTAGTATTTCACCCGTGCGTTGCACGGAGGTGAGTTTCAAAATGAGAAAAATAAACTTATGTAAACGACTATCTCTTTATCACAATACCAATTCAAGTAAAACAAAATGGAAGGAAATAAAAAACATAAACTTTATCTCTTAATTTAGAGTTGTAACATATGAAATTAAGTTAAATATTACAAATAAGAAAACATGAGGCGCGCAAAGCACGATATTAAGATTAAGTAAATCATTTAAAACATATGGTATAACTCTATTTCTTGGATTGCAATCTACTACACTATGTGAGTCTTCTGCAAAATAACTAAGGTAACAACAAACACGGTAGCGGAGAAGTAACACAATAGATATTCAAATAACCAGCAAGTTTATCACTAATGGCGTTCAATTAGTGATGCACATTACTCAAACAACAATAAAACTTATAAATATTGCAAAAGAGATATGATGTATACGCCACTACCAGTACTGATACCAATATTGATACCAATACGGATACCAATACTAATACCAATATTGTTACCAATAGTGATATTAATTCAATTAATACTGGTACTCATACTAATACTGATACTGATATTAATACTAATACTAATACTAATACTAATACTAATACTCATACTAATACTAATACTAATACTAATACTAATACTAATACTAATACTAATACTAATACTAATACTAATACTAATACTAATACTAATACTAATACTAATACTAATACTAATACTAATACTAATACTAATATTAATACTAATGTTAATACTAATAGTGGTACTAATACTAATATTGGTTCTAATACTGGTACTAATATATACTAATACTAATACTAATACTAATACTGATACTAATGCTAATACTAATACTAATACTAATACTAATACTAATACTAATACTAATATTAATACTAATGCTAATACTAATACTAATACTAATACTAATATTAATATTGGTACTAATATTGATACTAATACAAATATTAATACTAATACTGGTAATAATAATAATACACATACACGTACCAATACTAATACTAATACTAATAATAAAACTAATACTAGTACCATTGCTAATACTAATACTAGTAATAAAACTATTACTAATACTTTTATTGATATTGATAATAATACTAATACTAAGAATAAGAATAATATTGATAGTAATACTAATAATAATATTGATACTTACATTGATATTAATACTAATACTAATACTAATACTAATACTAATACTAATACTAATACTAATACTAATACTAATACTAATACTAATACTAATACTAAGACTGCTATTGATACTAATACTAATAATAATATTGATACTTATAGTGATACGAATAGTGATATTGATACCAATAGTAATACTCATACTAATTATTAAGACTAATACTGATACTAATAACAATAATAATTTTGATACTGATACTAATACTTATACTCATACTGATACTCATAGTAATATTATATTAATACTAATATTAATACTGATACTGATATTGACACTAATATTGATACTCATAGCAATATTAATATTAATACTAATACTTATACTAATACTAATAATAATATTGATATTGATACTGATACTAATATCGATACTCATACTGATACTCATAGTAATATTAATACTAATATTGATACTCATATTGATACTCATATTAATACTCATACTCATACTCACAATCATACTGATACTCATGCTAATACTGATATTAATATTGATATTGATATTGATACTGATACTGATAATGATACTAATATCGATACTAATATCGATACTGATACTGATATTTACTTGATACTGATACTCATACTGATATTGATACTGATATTGATACAAATGATGATACTCATACTGATACTCATACTCATACTGATATTGATACAAATGTTGATACTGATACTGATGCTAATACTGATACTGATACGGATACGAATACTGAGACTGATACTGATACTGATACTGATACTGATACTGATACTGATATTGATACTGATAATGATACTGATATTGATATTGATATTGATATTGATATTGATATTGATACCGATACCGATACCAATACTGATGCCGATACTAATGCCGATACTGATAATGATACCGATACTGATAGAATGTAATAATAGAATGTAATTATAGATTAATTTAATAAATGATGATGATAGCATTTAAAAAATGATGTAGAAGAACAATAATAGCGAGAAAAAGATGTTATCATAATTTACAATAGTGTGTTTTTGTTGATGTTCAAAACTATACAATAGCACATAATCAACGCTATAGTTGGCAAACATACTATAGCGTTTGCAAAACGCTATAATAGGACTAGGACCTATTATAGCTCCGGCGGACATAGCGTTTGTAAAAGCGCTATGTTAGCCTATAATAGCGTTTCTGAAACGCTATGAATGACGATATGTGTTGTAGTGGACCCTACACCCGGTGATAAATACTGGGTGAGTCTTCTGCTGCCACATGTTCCTTTTTTTACTTTTCTAAAACCCCTAAAGGTAAACCCTAGCGAAAATCTATTATAAAATACAAAAAAAAAGACACGTGGTAGCAGAAGACCCACCCGGTGTTTATCACCGGGTGTAGGGTCGAACAAATCCCTTAATACTAATTTAAACAAAATTTAAAATACACAATCATCAAAGCTTCAAGTGACGTCATCGCTTTATAAAGCGCGCGCGCACACCGTCGCTTTTGGTGCCATTGAATTGGGTCAGCCGACATTAAATAATCATTCTCAGATCTTCTTCGTCTACACTGCCACGTTGCTTCTCCATAATCTCTCTCGCCAGCGAGATTTCACTTCTCTCTCCTCCTTCAAAATATCTCCCCCAATTAAATCATTTCTCCTCTAAAATATCTCGAAGATTTCGACAATTCCTTCACAATACCCTTGGATCGAAATCGTGATTTTTTTTTTTTTTTAGGGATCTGTTCCAATACCTAATCGTGTGTTGAATTTCGACAATGGTGTCAATTGAGAGCGATAGTGCGAGAAATCGGAAGGTGCTGCTGGGAATCGGATTTTGGGTGCAGGGATTGAGGTGTTTTCCATGGATGGGTGTGAATTTCTTCCTGAAAGATGGGTTGAGAGTGGAACCTTCTACGCTTCAGATCCTTCTGAACTCGGCCAATTTGCCTATGGTTGCCAAACCCTTTTACGGCATTATCTCCGATTCCTTCTACATCTTTGGCCAGCATCGCGTTCCTTACATAGCCATTGGAGGTACAAAAAATTCCTTCTTTTTTTTTTTTTTAATTAAAACATTGAATGTGTAATATTCTATACAGATTAAAAAATTAATTGAAATTAGTATGTGATGATTTGTTGCTCTGTAATACGAGAGAAGGGGAAGAAGATAATCGAAAGCTTAGGAAATGTGGAGTTTGGGATCTTGTGTGATTATCGAAAATGTTTAGTTTGATCTTTGAAGTGCGGTCTTGATGAAGTTTTTTCGGTCATTATCGGAATAGAATGTAGGGTTATTGACTGCGAACTCGTTCTTTGTAGGAATACTCGTTTATGGTGACTAGTCGAATGTAGTAATGCTTGTTATATATATTTATAGTAACATAATACGATGAGCTGCCAGTAAACGCTTAGGTTGCAATTAGATGGGAGGATTTAGATTTGGGGAAGGGATTTTACTAAACGAGATGGATTTGAAATCCACCACAATGACTCGGAAAAAAAAAACGAGTAATGGGTTAGAAATCCATTGCTAAGTAGATTCATCTAAACTAGTTCGATGGATTTGTAATTCTCCCTTCAAATCCTTCAAATCCACCATATTAACGATAAGTTATCTATTTATTTATGAATTTGGTGTCACGGGAGTTATTTGGAAAACATTCGAGTATCAAGAACTAAGTGAATATATATATATATATATATATATATTGCTGGTCGATTCATACATATATTTTTCTGCAGCATTTTTGCAAGCAATTTCCTGGATGGCTATTGCAATCTTTGCTACATCCGGCATGTCAATTACCTCAATCACGTTCTATCTCCTCCTCGGAAATCTCGGCGCTTCTATAGTTGAAGTCGCGAATGACGCAATGGTAGCAGAAACCGCAAAACAACCTAATTCATCCGGCGAGCTTCAGTCATTCGTTTTGATGGCCTCCTCGATCGGGGGCGTTTTCGGTAATCTTGTAGGGGGAATCGCCATAAACCAATACTCCCCTCGAATGATGTTCTTCGTCTACGCCATTCTTCTCTCTCTTCAACTCCTCACAACACTCTCAATCCGCGAGAGCTCTTTAAACCTTCCGAAAACGCCCTCCAACATAGGTTTAAAGAAGCAAATATCGGAACTAGTATGCGCACTAAAAAAACCCGAGATTATTTATTCCATACTATGGTTCGCTTTTTCCTATGCCGTAATCCCAACGCTAACCGGTACAATGTTTTTCTACCAAACCCAACATTTAAAAATTGAATCTTCACTCCTTGGAATTTCAAAAGTCTTTGGTCAAGGAGCTATGCTAGTGTGGGCCATGGTCTACGAACGGTACCTAAAGTCGATCTCTTCGAGGAAATTAATCGCGGCCGTTCAAATTGCAATGGTGGTTTTCATGGTGTCGGATTTTCTATTTGTGAACGGGGTTTACAAGAGTATTGGGATTTCGGATTCTTTCTACGTGGTGGTTATTTCGGGTTTGCTCGAGGTTCTTTATTTCTTTAAAGTTTTGCCCTTCAGTGTTTTGATGGCGAAGCATTGTCCAAGGGGGTGCGAGGGTTCGGTTATGGCTTTTGTTATGTCGGCTATTGCACTTGCTATGATTGTCAGTGGGTACTTTGGTGTTGCACTCGCGGCTTATTTGGGGGTGAACGGGGACGATTTTTCGGGTTTGTCGAGTGCTTTGTTAGTGCAGTCGGTCTGTACTCTGATTCCCCTTTTTTGGGTGAAATGTGTCGCGGAAGATGTGAAATCGGAGAAGAAGTCGAAGGAGAATTGAGTGCTGCCGTTTTCTCTTGCATTTATATTATTTTTTGCTGTAAAATAGATGATTTATGGGATATTTGTGGTGTTAGTATGTATTCATAATATATAATTCATTACAATATATTTATTATGTTTAGGGAGAAAATTTTGTATCGAAGTTTGTTGATGTAATTGTTAACTGAAAACAGAGGGATTTACATATATGTATAGGATAATTTTCCTTAATTAAAAAAATAAAAGAAGCACTGATTTTTTTATATGCATTTAGTTTTTATTGTTAATGTATATATATATATATATATATATATATATATATATATATATATATATATATATATATATATATATATATATTAAAAATAATAAGTAACAACTAAAGAACTCACGATTCGGCCGTTGAACTAATGAACGGCTAAGTGGAGCTCGAGTTCAAACTTTTGTTGATTCAGCTCATTTACTCCCCTAGCGAACACGTTATGATTTTGCTCGATTTTTTCAATTAAATTGACGAAATCAAAATTTCGAACAATAAAAATGTACTACAATTTCCTATCCCCATTAGGCCTAGCTCACAATGAGAATAGCACAAAATTTGAAAATGCCAACAACTAAATCACTTAACCCAAACAAGGAATAATGAATAATCATTATTTTTAAGAAGAAACCCTAACATCCAACGGCTCTCTACCGCCGGTGACATTGAACACCGTCTTAATTGTACGAGGAATCGAAGGATGAGAATACGAAAGAGAGTACTCCCCGAGAAACACCTCATGCTCAAAAACTCCTTCCTTGTCCGTAAATCCAGTCACATTTACGGTCTTCCATTCTTTCACGAGCTTATCGAGCGCGTCGCCCGTCGGCAAATTCTTGAAGTTGATGTCGGTGAGGCACATCATCGAACACCCCTTGGGTAAAACATCGTAGTTTTTGTCCGACAGGCATTTGTCACTACACGACGTTGGCTTCCACCCCGCCCACACTATGATCCCTTCCACGGCCGGATGTGAGAATACTTCTCTCATCACTTCTTCGAACTCAGCATGCTGTTCACATTTATAATAATAATAATAATAATAAAAATCAATAAGAAGTGCTATATATATTCTACACAGATACTTCAACTTGTTAACGTATCGGTCCGTCAGACACCTGTCGAACACTTGGCGGGTCCTTTTTGTAATTTTCAATAAATTAGAAACATGTTTCGATAACAATTCGATATAACATAATGAAATTTGCAAATAAAAGATGTGATCATTATTTACCTGAGTCGGCCCCCTTTTGAAATCCATTTCCGTGAGCCAAATCGACAAATTAGTGGCGCCAAGAACATCTAAGCTCGCCCGAATATGAGATACATTAGGTTTAAAAAAGAAATGCCCCTGCAATCCAATCCTCAAAACCAAGTCCTTGTTACCCGGAAATGCCCTAATCTCCCTAATCTTCTCGACGTACTTTGATGGAATAACCTTCATGTCCGTAGGGTGCGCGAGAATATTGTACTCGTTCAAAAACAGGGGAGTCTGCGGATCCAATGCCCGCACAATTTGGTAAAACATGGCCGAAGCGTCCGGCCGGCCGATTTTATCCTCGTAGAACGAGTTGTGCATGTTCTCGTTCACCACGTCCCACCCGATGATGTCGCCCGAGTACCTCGAGACGACGGACCCCACGCGCCGGACTGCTGCCTTGAGGACGTCCCTCGGGGCCAGCGCCTTGACCCACTGTTGGTTCATGTTCACGCTGGCCCACAGGATCGTGTGGCCCCGTACCGCGATCCCGTTCTGCTTGAAGAACGAGACCATGGCGTCGGGGACGGTGTAGTTCTCCAGGCCTTGGTGAGCCTCCGTGTAGTACCACTTCATCTCGTTGTCGAAGGTGGCCGCGGTGAAGCGCTTGACGAAGTAGTCCTGATAGGCCTTGTTGTCTATGATGCTCGACGTCGTGCCGCCGCCGATGTGGAATCGGGGCCTCGTTTGGTCGAGTGTCACTTTTGCTCCTTCGAGTTTTAGACCATCTTGGCTCGTTACATGGATTCGTACCTTTTGTTTTCGGACCTGGAATTATTAAACATGTCGAAAGACATTGTAAATAGTTCGCCCAAATACAATAGAACCTCGATAAATTAATACTCCGATCCATAAATTGATAACCTCCCTTACATAATAACTTCTTCCCGCCCCGACTCGGTAAAAACGTACTAAATTATAAGTTCGATAATTTAATATTTCGCTAAATAATAGAATTTTGTTAATCCCAACTATATATATATATATATAATAATTAAATTAATTAAACAACCAATTCAGTACTGTAGGTTTTTTTTAGGTCAAATTTGTGTAAATTAATTGGGTTGAATTTACAAGTTTGGACCAATAATAAAATAATAAAACTATAGTTCGGCTTCATGGAGCACATAATATTTAAACAAAAATAAAAACATATATTTATTTATGTTAAGCCTAATTACAAAATTTGGATTAACAATAAACAAATAATACTATTGGGACTTTTGGATTTTGCAAATTTCGAATCAACAATGAGTCAATGTCATATTAAGGGCTCTAATGGTTACCTATATGGGATAAGTTTAGATTTAATGAGATTGAATTAATCTTTTAGTGACTAATTAATTATTTATGATATGTAAGGTTAGATTTTTTATTAAATCTGTTAAATTCTGATATTATATATGATTTTTCGAAAAAATCTTTGATTTAATAAAATTAACATGTAGTTTGAAGGATAAAATAGTCTTTTACTTGTTTAGTCATCCCTATTAAATTAATCTCAGGGAGATGGGTGCTACTAATTTAATGAATTAGTAGCATTTAATAGTGGACTTTAATTTTAGTGGCGGATTTGTAAAAAATGTAAATCTTGCCAACCGAACGTGTTACTAGCCCCTACTATTTAGTCAGTAGAACCTTATAACAATAACCAAACGAGTCCTAATACTATTGAGCGTTTTTAGAGGCTCTCTTATATATATTGGACGCAATAAATTTACCTTGTTGATGCTTTCGTACTGCTGGTCTCGCCATTCGGCTTTGGTGAACGCCTCGAGGGAGGCGTTGTCAATCCAAAGTTCGACCTCCGTGTTATTGCTCTGCATCGATCGATACGAGAAACAAAATTGAAATAGAGGAAATTAAAATTCGTTACGAAAAAAACCCGGGACAATATATATTTTGTAGGTTTAAATTACCATGAAATAAAGTTGAGCATTCATATCTTCTTGCATTTGAAACCCTCCTTTAAGCATAGACCAACACCCATATTTTGCTATTACAGAACCAACAATTGTACTTGTCCCATCACCATGTTTTAAGTATGCTGATATTATTTCTTTTCCTTTATTCAGCTGAAACCATGCTGTAAAAGTAAATAAAATAAAATAAATAAATAATATATATAAATATATAAATATAAATATAAATAAATATCTTCAATCAATTTTTTTTAATACCTGAAAAGGTGTACAAGAATTCTTTTTCAACATACAAATTGTAAGAGAAACTATCATTAGGCATTTTCCTGTCATATGCAGCCATATAATTGTTGCCGGATTTCGATTTTCTCAATTCGATTTTTCCGTTTCCGAATTTGCTCCATTCGTCTAGGCCCAGATCGAACTCCGAGTTTCCGACTAACCCGCCGTTGTACTGAGGAGTCCAAGGCTTTTCCAGGCACTGAAAAAAAAAATGAAATATTTATTTTTTGTCACAAATTAAATCACTCTTAAATATAAGAAAATATTGAAATATTAAAACGAAATGTTTTTCCTTACATCAATGCTGGCTGAGTAGTCATAGGATGAAGCCCAGGTTGCAATAACACACCCTAAATCATTAAAAAAAATAAAAAAAAAAAAAAAAAAAAAAATTAAAAGTTGAATTTATGATTATTATGATTAAGTCATGATTAAGAACTAACATGTGAGAAGTAGAGAGAACAGAGTAACAAGCATCTGAAATATTTTCATTTCTTCCAATATGAAAATATTGATGTGATGAGAAATTAAATAGAAGAAATCATTAATTGGGAATTTATTAATTTTAAGTAAGCACAATTATTATTATTATTGGGAAACAATTGTCTTATGTAGCATGAAGTCAATTGAAATATGCAAGAGGCGTGTCTAATGCAGAAATAGGAAAATTAAATTAATTACATCGGCACCTAAATTAATTTATGCCTAATCTTTTTTTATGTTGGCAGTTGATGATTTACATAAAAGGTAAATTACAAACACCCCCCTGAGGTATGGTCAAATTACAAAAAAACCCCTCTTGTTTGGATAATTACATCTACCCCCTCAACTATGATTTTTTCTTACCTTTATGGTGCCAAATTCAACATATTCATCTAGATTCTGTGAAATGTGCTCTAGTTTGTACTCTTTGTGTAAAAAATACAGTTTCCGATGCACCACAAACTGATATATACAAGCTAAAAATCACATATTATGGTCATCTTGCTTCATAATGTAGAGTTTGAATGGGATAAAACGGGTACAAAAGTGATAATATTCCATATAATCTCGAAGATTCCACTAAATTTGATGAGTTGAGGGGGGTGGTTGTAATTATCCAAACAAGAGGGGTGTTTTTGTAATTTGATCATACCTCAGGGGGGTGTTTGTAGTTTACCCTTACATAAATGGGAAAACAAAAAAGCAACCAAATTTATTGACGCCGATTGTGAATTATTCATCTCAATAAAGTTTTAATAATGAATACAAAGGACTACTGGGATCAATGTTTTGAAACCCGGACCGAAACGATTAAACCGTGAACTATTGCCTTGACTTGTCTGATTTGATCGGTTGAACCGTAAAATCGAAACCCGATGGAAAATCTGGTTTTTTTCCTCCTCAATTTAGTGTTTTTGTTAATAGTTAAATATAAAATAACAAATTAAATGGCTAAAACAACGTCTTTTTGCTATTCAATTGAAAAAAATATCAAAATAAAAATTTTTGAAATCGAATAATATATTATTTTAGATTATAATTTCTATAATATTTAAAGTGATCGGGTAGCTTCTCCGGGTTAATATCCGGTCCGGCTTTTAAAACATTGTCTGGGATTGACCCGACCCGGCTTCTTGGGGCCTAGCCAAAAAAAAGGAGCCTTTTTATTATATTTTATATATGTAAAACTAAATAAAATAAAATTATATGATTATTGTTATTTTTATAAAAATATTAATAAAATTTGAGTCTTCATATTAAACATTTTTTTATACGATAGAAATTATATAAATATGTATGTATTCAATATTTTTTATGTACAAAATATTTTGTGTTCAGTTTTTTTTTTCCACTGCAATATATTTGTTATGATTAGGAGAAAATAAAATGTGCGAAACTCCATTGATGTGGTTTTTAATGCAAAAACAGAGGGCCAAGTTATTGCAAAAGAGTACTTAGTTTAATGATTTTCGTTAAATATCTTTTTTTCTTAAATCGACGAAAAAAATTGATTGATAAATACATCCACAATAAACAATAGAGCATGATTAATTTAGGACTCACCTCAATATATGAAACTTATCCATAGAAAGAATAAATACATACAAAAAGATAAGTGGTTCTTAATTAAATCATATGAAATAGACGTGTAACATAAATTTAGGTTTCGTTTGGTTGACAAAATGAGATTAGCCAAGATAAAATTAAATAATTAACGAGAATCCAATTATTTTATTGAACTCTGGGACGTCCAACAAAAAAGACTGCCTAAGAAACAAGATAAACCATGATAACATAATATTTGTAGGTCGATCCGACAAATTATTGGAGATACCAAACATCAAACAAAGTCCAATTATTTAATTAATAACGATTAATCTCTCTAACTAAACGAGGCCTTAAGAGACAATTGGATGGAGCCTCCTACCTAACTTACATAATTATAATTTATAACTAACTTCATCAAAATTATTGTATTAAACAATTTGTGTTGTTCCTTTTTACAGAAACTTTTTGGCCCACAATTTCTTTTAGAGATGTTCATAAACAAAAAAGTTGCAAAGTTAAGTAAATATTTATCGATTTTATTTAAAATAATATAAATTTTAACCATAATATTTTATATTGCAATGACAAATACGGAAACAATGCTCTATCGCATCATATTCTTCGATCTCAAATAATGATTAAAGTTTGATTTTTTTTAAAAATAAAATCTAAAATATCTTGTTCTACCGACTTTTTCGGTTTTGTATTATAAACGTGCTTTCATCCCCTTTAAAGTTGTCATTTCCTCTATACAAATGTTGCTACTTATCGCAAAATTACCCCTGTAAAATCTCTAATCTTCAAAAACACCCGTGTGTTAAAAATATTAGCAAATACCCCCTATAAAAATTAGTCAAAGCCAATAAGGCTCCTGACAGCCTATTGTGTGTTTCAAGCGCGGGTTGAGTGGCTTGTGGTGTGTTTTTTCAGCTGAAAATATATAAATACCCTTTAACAGAACTTTCGAAAACTACAGAATCACCCCATAAATTTCATGAGCACCAAAATAAAGTTTTTACATTTTTTAATGAAGTCCAAAGCATTTTGAGAAAATCCCTCTGATCTTCTCCACCACACCTAAAGCCTAGGAAAAGAGTCTTAAGCTATATAAAATACAACATAGGGGGGTATGTGCTAATATTTTTAACACAAGGACTTTTTTAGCAATTAAAAATAATACAGGGTTTTTTCTGCCATTAGCTCAATACTAATGCCACGTATATATGGACAACTTCCACTACGTTGCAACTTGGTTTTGTTACATCATTAGTTTATAAGCTATGATAACTTTCACTACGTTGCAATGATTATATTTCCTTTTTATTTGTTAAAAAAAATCAAATATTGAAGTGCAAGCAAATACTTTATCTACGCATGAGCTAAAGTATTATTACATATATATATATGTATTTATTACACACTACTCCAAAACTTATTAAAAAAATATATATGTAGAAAAATATTAGGTTTAATAATTTGGCGACCATTGATGAATGCATGAAGCTACTACAAAAACATATAACATCAAAAAACAACCATATTAGAAGAAAACAATCCTTTATTAATTAGTTGGATGCCTCAAACAAAACAAGACTACAACTCAATGCCAAATTACAAGAAAACATATATATATATGATCTTAATATAATTTAAATAAACGTCTTTTTCAAAAAAAAAAAAATAAAAAAAAATAAACGTCATTAATAAGCTCGCAAAAAACCGACATTTTTTTTTTCGTTTTCAAAAGTGTTTAATGGACACATTGTACTCCACGGAAGCATCACCCGTCTTAGGATCGAACCAAACCGTGTGCGCTAATGCATACCCTCTCCCAAACCTAAAAAGCCCGCTCCCACCGACAATCGGCATTTCTCTTACATCATCAAACACATGGTTCCTCCCGAGCATGCTGATGGTGCTCCCGTTGTACTTCCCTTGCGTGAATTCAAACACGACCACCATCAACAAGGCCGTGTCCCTTTGAGCTGCCGACGAGTACATTCCTTGTGCCCGCCCGAGGATCCTGGAATCCCGGGCGGGTTTTTCGGTCAGCGCGTTGTCTATCATGAATGTCGCCCCGAATCCGAGCCCTTGCCCGATTATTTGAACCGATGTCGGATTTTTGCCGCTGACTATGTCTTGGAAGTAGAAGTGGAGGTTTGTGGTTTTCTCCATCAATCGAGTTGATATTATGGTTTCGAGTAAGTTTTCGGAGAAGTTGTCTTCATTGGAAGAGGTGATTGGGATTGAGAAGAGGATTAGGGTTAGGGTTAGGGTGTTGAAGATGATGAAGAGAGTGTAGGAAATTGAGGTCATTTTTTAGGGTGTGTGGTTTGATTTAATCTCAAGAATGTGTAGTGATTGACCAAGTGGCTTTATAATGAGGTAATGTGTGTGCTTTTTAGTTTTTGGGTCTTTTTTTTTTTTTTTTTTTTAAATTAGTTTTAATTTAATTTTAATTTAATTTTAAAATTTAATTTTAGGGTTGTTTATAATGATGTGAGTTGTGCAGGAGATGAATTATTGCTTCACATTACAAGTGTTAATTATTCCCCACATGTTGCATATAAATAAGGTAAACTAAAGCTGCAAAGTTTGCTTCCATTTTAAGTATGCATAGCTTTTGTCACTTCTTTCCCACTCAACGTTTTAAAATGATAGGTAAAGCTAGATATGATAATATTCCACGATTCTGACGAGATCGAGCTCATCAAGTTAATTTTTTGAGCACAAGTTCGAGCAGAGTTTATCGATTTCGAACTCGAGTTCGAGCCTAAGCTTATTTGGTTTAATTTTATTAAAATTATTAATTTCTTAGCATTACAAATCATTTATATTAAGATGAAAAAAAATTACAAAATAAAGAATTAACTGTAATTATTTTTTTACACTTTTCATATGTATTCATTATATTTTATATTATTTATATTTAAAATTAAATATATGTTTGACCTGAATTCGTTTAATTTACTATAGGTTTAATAATTTAATAATTAAACCTATAGTACAATTCATCTGGTTGTTTAATTTTTATTTTTTTTTAATAATTATTTAAACTGGGACGGGTTGTTTTTTTGTAATTTTCGAACTTAAAACAAACGGTGTTAATGTCAAATGTGTGAAAACTAAGGGCGAGGGTCACATTGATACAATTTTTCAAGGACATGGGACATATCGATGCAATTGAGAGTATAAGAGAGTAAAGTGATATCGAGCAAAAGTTCAAGGAGACAAATCAATGCAATTGAGAGTAGAAGAGGGTAAAGGGATATCGAGCCAAAGTACAAGGGGCAAATCAATGCAATTGAGAGTATAGGGGTAAAGTGATATCGAGCCAAAGTACAAGGGGACAAATCGATGCAATTGAGAGTAGAAGAGGGTAAAGTGATATCGAGCCAAAGTACTAGGGGCAGATCAATGCAATTGAGAGTAGAAGGGGGTAAAGTGATATAGAAACAAAGTTTTAAATAAAGGGCTAAATACACTTTACACCCCTAAAATATAGCCTACGTAACACTTACCCCCTTAAAATATTATTTGTAACACTTATCCCCTCAACATCAAATATTTTATATTTTAAATATAAAACATAATAAACATAACAATCTAATAATTATGGATCATAAAAATTGACAAGTAACTAAAATTAAATTATTGAAAAAAAATAAAATGAAAAGTAATATATGTTGTATAACAATAAATGAGAATATATTTTAAGAAATTAATGAACTAAAATAAATTTAAATACTTAAGATTAGTTTTATTTATGTATTTATTTCTTAAAATTTATCGATATGAATATATTCGATTAATTGGTCAATAACAATTAGATGTTATTTATTAAATATGTACCCAACGCTACGAGATAATATATTTAAATTTTAAAACATTGCATTTTTCAACAGATATTTTTAATTGTATAATTTAATTATTATTTTAAATAAAAAAGAAAATTTTAAAGTGTTAGGATTTAAAAATACAAATTGAATTGAGATTAAGGAAGTAAGTGTTACAAATGATACTTTAGGGGTAAGTATTACAGATGATATACATTAGGGATGTAAATTGTATTTAACTTTTAAATAAATAAATAAATGGAAAATTACAGTTTACACCCCTCAAGTTTGCACCAATTTCATATTTGGTCCCCAATATTCATAAAAAATACATTTGGTCCCTCATGTTACAATAATTTAACACTTTTGGTCATAATCCGTCAATTTACCGTTAATTCGTCAGTTAAAGGAAGTGATGTGCACAAACTTGATTCGGTTAGTACTAGCGGACAATTGACAGCAGTGACTAAAAGTGTTGAATTTTTGAAATATAAGAGACCAAATATATTTTTCATTAACATTGAGGACCAAACGTGTAATCAGTTCAAACGTAAAGGATGAAAACTGTATTTTTCAATAATAAAATATTGCCTAAACTAAATCCCCAGCTCTCCCAATCAGGTTTTCATCCACCCTTAAATCCCTAATCCACTCCATCCTCAAATCTACTGCAAAATTTCTCAATCAATTTTCAGTCTAATTCATTATCTTTCTTCTTCTCCTTTTTCGGCCACCAATCCCGCCGCCACAGCTGCACCGCCACCGCCGAAAAAAAAACTGATTTTTGAAGGTATTTTTTTTTTTTTTTTGGCTGTTGTTGCAGTTGAGGAAAAGAGAATAAATGAAGAAAATTAAATTTGATGCGTTGTATTCTACTGCTGCTCAATTTTGTATTAGCTCTCATAAGCAATTTCTGGTGTTTAATTCTCATCCACAAATTTAATTTTTGTATTTGCTCTTGTTGATAAAATTCCCTTTTCATCTGACCAAAAAAAAAAAAAAAATAAATAAAAATCATTCAGTCATGATCGCCTTCTTTGGTTTTGCTACCATGTATGCATAAGGTGGACCCGCTTTCTTGAATTGTTGGGACTGATCCAAATTTCATTTAGTCACTGATTTAAATTGCTGTTATGTAAGGAAGCATGTGTTTTATGCCGCGCTTTTTGCCTCTCGATATTGTCATCATGTTAACGTAGTCCTTTACGATGATGAGTTTGCACTGTTGGTATAAGTACGGACAATTTAACGGCTGAAAGAATGGTAGTTAAAATCGGTTCTCAAATCGCAGAATTTTACGAATTTAACTACCCTATAACTACAGTTAAACCTCTATAAATTAATACAGTCGGGACTGGCAAAATTCTATTAATTTAGCGAATTATTAAATTATCGAGCTAATAATTTAGTACGTTTTTACCGACTCGGGACCGTAAGAAATTATTATTTACAGGAGCTTATTAATTTATCGAATATTAATTTATCGAGGTTCTACTGTACCTTGGTTCGTTGGAAGAGATGCGTTCAGTACAAGCTAACCAAATTTGCAATCCATCAGGACGTTTTTTTTTTTCTTCTTTCCGTTGGGCGATCTTGAAACTGATTCGCACTATTTTTGTCTTAAAGGTTCTGTATAACTGCTTGTTTCATCTTTTAATTTTTTGCTAGTCACGGAATGTCAAAATTTTCAATTTTCGGAAGTTCAACGTCCATTTTAAACTAGTTTTCGAAAATTCACTGACGTATATACTTTACTAAAATATGAAATTTCAGAAGTCCACTACCGATTTCAAGAAATCCCCGATTAGATTTTATTGACTAAGTAGTAAGACGTTCAGTTTAATTTTCGATTATTTCTTGAAATTGGTTTTGAAGTTGTTTAATTTAATGTATTTCTCGTTGATACACAGATGGACGGGACTATTGCCAATGAGCTCTATTCAGAAATCTTGCAGTCATCTAGTGTTGAGTTCGATAGAGGGTCAACTGCAGCACAAGCAAGTAACAATTTGAACGGTACGCAATTCAGTATTATTTATTTATATGTTTCAGCTTCAGACACTCGATTTTTTTATTTTTATTTTTTATTGTGTGTTTAATGTTTGTGCCATAACAGTCGAATTGTCTCGTATATATTTGTTAAAACTTAAAAGTTGTTCAAATTCTGCTAATGTATCAAGAAATATGTATTCTTCGATGATTCAGCTTTATGCCTGAAAATATTCTCAACGGTTCTGTCAACTTTCTTGTTTAAAATCATAAACTTGAATCCTTTTTTTTCTTGTTTAGTTTCAAAAAACGATGATGCGGGCGATTTGTGGTACGATGAAGAATCTTCAGAGAAAGATTCTACCGAGAAACTGAATGCAGCATCCGATATGGAGAGGGAGTGGCAAAAGAGGCGTAATCAGTTCCATACGGTATACTAATATATACATATATCGGAATATTCGTTTTTTAACCGCATCGAGCTAATGGTATCATCTGAAATTGAATGCATTTATTCCTTGTTTGTTTTCGTTTCCGATAATCTAGATCGGCTACCGTGACGGTGTCATTGCCGGAAAAGAGGCTGCCGCACAAGAGGGGTTCAATATCGGCTTTAAAGATTCCGTGCTAAATGGATACAACTGGGGTTTCGTCAGAGGTATTACAAGGTAAATAAATACCGAAAAAATTAATTAAACGCAAATTATGCTATTACTTACGGTGTTCTTGTAATTTACTAATATGTCCTTTTTATTTAGTGCTATAGCTTGCTTACCTGGCGGGCTAAAGGAGAAATTGGTCGAAACAGAGGAAATGAGAAATAAGTTTCAGAGCTTGCAACAATCTGTACAGTCTCTATCGACAATTGATGCTTTGAAGCTATTTTATGAAGACGGAAAAAGGAAATCATCAAATGGTGAAAATAGTTCCGGTGTTCTCGAGAATTACCATGGACAACTTCAGTCACTTCTCGGAGAATCTCCTCTGCTCGACGGACATTCGGAAAGGAAATAGTCGTGTTCATTTTTCTTTTGCTTCATCAATTTATATTTAAAAAGTACCGAATAGACTTTGCATAGTTCGACTCAGTTCGAGTTCGGCAGAGATTTGATGTATTAGTACACAAATTGACATTTATGATATTTCATATTCTTAAAGAAATAGATAGATTCAGGACTGTTGTTAGAGAATATATATAACAAAGTGTATCCAAAGGTTCATTTGTTTGAATAATCAAGATTTTGGTTGTTACAAGAAAATATAAATCTTGACATTATTATTGATTTTGGACCCTATTTACATTTGAAAAGAAAATGAAAAATAAAAAAAACTTATTTAATGCATCCTAGAAGCAGCAATTAGTAACACTAGAAAAATGGGAGAAGCTAGAAAAATAAATACATACGGGAGCGCTCGATTCGACCCGCCTTCATCCACTACTTCACTCTCTTTCATCGTATAACTCGTCTTGTTTTGTACAAACGCTTCGAAATAATTTTGATATTCGGTGCTGAGACGCTTACGATTCAAGCTCCTAACCTTCATCATTTCCATTGCCTGTCGAATATGAATGTTAATCAAGTGAAGAGTGACTGAAAAAACCATTTATTTAAGGGTAAATTACGAAAACCCCCCTGACTTAAGCGGAACTATGAAAACCCCCCCACTTATCCGTAATTACCAAAATTCCCGACGTTGGTTTCAGTCTTGCATCGACCATCTTACAGTGTGATATTTTACAGAATCTTTTTTATTCAAGGGAATATTTCGCAAAAGAATGCCAATTCTACCACTACAGACGTGGCATTTTTTAAGCTACTTTTTAAAAGATAAAAATTACCTTCATAGGGGTAATGGTACGACTAAAAAGTTGTGAAGGTGTTATTTAAGAAGAATAAATATTCCGAACTCCCCTCGAGGGTAATTTTTTCTTTAAAATGTAGCATAAAGTAATGCCACTGCAGAGGTAGAATTAACATTTTTTGCGAAATATTCCCTAGAATACGAAAGATTCCATGAAAAATCTTACCCCAAGGGGGTCGGTGTGAGACGAACACAAATATTGGGTGGATTTTGATAATACGGAAGATGAGAGTTTTTTTGCAATTTAGCCCAAGTTCAGGGGTTTATTCGTAATTCACCCTTTATTTAAAAATCATTCAAATTGGCCCTAAAATTAAATGATTAGTTACATTGAGTTTACCTGGAAGCCAAAGACAAATTGCCTAGCCTTCTTGCTCACTCTAGGATTCGGGTGGGATTGAAGCTTCTCATACATCACACGTGCTTCATCGGATCTATTACGCAATGAATTTTTGTATAAAATATCAAAAACTCGAGCCCGGAAAATCTAGAAAAACCAATTACATCAAGTTAAACGTATACCTATTTCTCGAGTCTTGACATATAGACCACTGAAGAGCAGCTAATCCATGAATTTCACTCTGCCAAAAAAAAAAAAAAAAAACGTGTAGTAACTAACGATTAAAAATGTTTCCGAGGTAGGAGAAAATTGTTCGGTCCGTATATTTCGAACGCAAATTTTTAGTCGATTAACACATTTACCTGAAACGGCAACTTTTCCATGACCTCCTCGTAAAGCGGTAATGCTTTCTTGAGTTCACCGAGATCCATAAGCGCGTCGCCGTCGTTCAATGCCTAAGTACGATAGCACTATCACTAACAAGAGAGTTATAACGACACAACATGAATATTTCTTGTTTTATAACGAGTTCTAACATAAGTCGATAACACCATTTTTCTCAATTTCTCCGAAATTTTATTTATTCGAAATTCAAAATATACCTTTTCGCATTCGGATTTCAGTTTCGGATCAATATTTAGGCCATATTTCTTCTTGTAGTCAGCTAGTAACTGTTTTGTACGTGCTTCTTTGGCAGCCCTTTCTTCGGCTGTTTCAAGCGCCTGCCCGGGCCGTAAAGTTCTACCCCCACCATACTATTATACATCCCAAAAAAAATATAAAATATAAATAAATAAATTAGACTATATATATATAAATTATAAAAAAATCAAAAATAAAAAATCAAATACTTCTCAAGAAAACTTCAAATCCCAAATTTTGCTAGTTGGAACGGAATTTCAAATTTCTGCCGAATCCAATCTGAAATTTTCCGATTTTGGAACAATATTTTTCATTCTGAATCCCGAATATTTCTGATTCCGTTTTTTTTCTCATTTTTTTTTGCATCGGAATTAGAATATATATGAGATTCCGATTTCCGATTTGATTTTAGTTTCCGAATATAACTCCGAAAATTCCGATACTTTCCGGAAATTACTCTTATGATATCAATATTAATATGCATTTTATATTTTAGGTTAACAGAAAATCAAAATTTCTGAATCCCGCCGATTCCGATAAAAAAATTCCGATTTTCGGAACGATTTTTTTTTTTAATTCAATTTCCAAAATCCCGATTTCCGTTTTTTCCGATATTTTTTGGGAACGGAATTCGAATTAGTTTTTCACTTCCGAAAAAATCGGGTTTCGCTCAAACAAAGAAAATACAGAATAACACCAAAAAAAAAAACATGTGATCAATCTTCCCAAATCCAACAATAAGGAAAACCGAGATTAATATATCTTACTGCTTTAGAAATGTCGTTTGGCCTCGGAAAAAGTCCCCAAGTGGAAACCTTTGGTTTATACAGTTGATCATCATCATCATCATTTTCTTGAAGTGAGGTTGGTTTTGGTTCGGCTAATGCGTCACCAAAATTGCTCGAATTCCCAACGAGTATTTCCACTTCGGGAATATCCCCTTGTGGATAAGGGTCCGAAAATGGAACCAAACCAGCAGGCAAACTTCTACCACTCTTCTTATCAGCAAAACCGAGCCCAACAAAATCGATATTCGAAATCGACAGTTTATCCTTCTTGCTACTACTCTTTATCGGTTTCTTAACCTCGGGAATATTCTCTTTTCCTTCTTTCAATCCTACAATTTAGTGCAAAATAAAAATAAAAATTTTATATCTCAAAATTGTTAATTGATTTTAGTGCAAACACGAAACGACACAACCCTATTCATAATGGACCATCAATTAGAGAACTCAAATACAAAATGTAAATTGTATGTGATATGCTATACTTAGCGGAATTTCCGATTTCGTCGATTCCGATCCATAATTTTCCGACTTTGAAACAGTGTCCAATATTTTTCATTCCGAAAATTCAGATTCCCGATTTTTCCAATTTGTTTTGGATAGGAATTGGAATGTGTATTAGATTCCAATTTCCAACCCGATTTTACTTTCTGAAATAATTTCGAAAATCCCGATTTTTTTTTTTCCGGACATGTACTCTTATAATATCAAAATTATTATGTATCTATATTTTTGTGTACAAAAAATCGGATTTTTCCGAATTACACCGATTCCGGTCCAAAAATTTTGATTTTGGAACAAGGATTTCATTCCAATTTCCGTAAATCCAATTTCCGATTTTTGGATAGGAATTGGAATACGTACGAGTTTCCAATTTCCAATCCGATTTTACTTTCCAAAATAATTTCGAAACTCCCAAATTTTTTATTTTTTTTTCCGGGCAGAAACTCTTATAAATATCAAAATTATTAATACGCCGATTCCGCTCCGAAAAATTCGATTTTGGTACAAGGACTTCATTCCAATTTCCAATTTTTTCAAATTTATTTGTAACGGAATTGGAATTAGTTTTTCACTTTCGAAAAAAAAAATGGGAAGTTTTCCCAAAGTGCTAATTACAGTCCGGTAATCCAATTTCTATCCATAGCCATAGGTATGCAAAACCAAAACCCCATTACCAAATTAATACATATCTTAAACTAATTATAAAAAATTATCAGACAAAACAAGAATCTAAATACCTGAAGCTAATTTTTCATCACCACTTTTGTTCTTCTTGTAATCATTTGCTTTCTCCAATGCAAGTTTAATCATATTCCCCTGCCCACCATCATCCTTACCAGATTCCACTTCTTCGCCATTCTTTTTTAATTCAATTTCAGCCCCCGAATTTTGCACAATCTTCGGAACAGACCCTTGAAGAATTCTGTTGTCCTTGTACTTTTTGGCCTTCTCCATTGCAAGTTTAAGAGCCAAAGGGACCTCTTTGTTGTCCTTAATTTCATCGTTCTTTGATGAATTTTTGTATGCTTTGGCTTTGGCGAATGCGAGTTTAACGGGATCTTGTTCCTGGGTTTTGGATTCTGGTGGGTTTTCTTGAGAAGATTCTTCTGTCTTGGAGGAAGAGATTCTTGATCTTGAGTTCTTGAAGGCGATGAAATTAGTGGGTTGTTGTACCTTGTTGTTGTTGTTGTTGATGGGTAAAAGTGAAGAGATGAATGAAGGTTGTGAAAATGAGGCCATTGAAAATTTGAATGGAGATGAGAGTGTTTCTTCTTACAAGCACATAACCAACACATTGAAAAAATCAAAACAAAAAATAAAAAATAAAAAATAATAATGAATGGGAAAATTACAGTTTTTACCCCTCAAGTTTGCATTAATTTCATATTTGGTCTTTTATATTTACAAAAAACACATTTTTGGTCCCTTCTGTTTGAATAATTTAACACTTTTTGTCACTTCCATCAATTTACCGTTAGTCCATCAGTTGAAGTAATGACGGGCACACACAGTGGCCGAATGTGAAGCTCACGCGGCCTTCTTTGCTTTGCAATGGGCCACTTCAAAAGATTGGAGATCGATTATAGACGAGGGGGATTGCCTACTTTTTATCAAGTCGGGATCTAACTTGGAATCGTCATTCGGAGAGTCTTTTCCCTAGCATCCTCGTTTATTTTTTTGCATCTTTTCCTTTGTCAAACGTTCTGATAATTTGTTGGCACATTCTATTGTCATTCGTTTTTCTTTTTCTTGTGATGTAGGGGATTCTCTTCCTCTTGACTTGGCTTTTTATTCCTAAATAAAGTCTGTTTTAATTTGATGTAAAAAAAAAAAAACCACTATTTAATTAAAATTCGCTCTTCTTTTCATCAAATGTTGACATGTTTGCTACTTTCTTTAGCTTATTTGACTCAATTGATTCAATTTATTTCTATGTTTTGTTAAGACACTCAATTTTCACTACCAATTTCAAAAGTTCGCTGCTAATTGTCATATTTCATTTCAACCAATTTTCATAATTTTGTTGTCATTTTTCACCAAATTTTAGAAGTTGATTGCTTATTTCAATGCCAATTTTCGGAAGTTCAATGTCCATTTTCATATAGTTTTCAAAAATTCACATCTATATATACTTTGCTAAAATACTCAAATTTCATAAGTCCACTACCAATTTCAACGAATCCCCTATTAGGTATTATTGACTAAGTAGTAAGGCCAGTAAGATGTTCAGTTTACAAGATTCATACGTGCAAAAACATTAGCTACAGTCTACAAATAAATATTACTATTTAAATAAATTAGTAGCACCCCTCTTCCGAGATAAATTTTGTGGGGTGACTAAAGGAGGAAAAAAAATACAATTTTATTTTAAAAAACTACATGATAATTTTTTTATAGAAAATATTTTTATAAACAAATCATATATAATGCTAGAATTTAATATACTATATACAACATCTAATATAAGGAACTTTATTTGGACAACTCGAGTAATAGATATGATTAATTACTAATAAAAGGAAATAATAAAGAAATTAAAATATATATTTTTCTCGGAATAATAAATATATAATGGGGTTGTAATACATGATTATTATTTGACAAAATAAAGTATATAGTAATTATCTCTCTTGATTAAAATAAATTGCATAAAGCCCACGGCCCACGTGTATATATTACCATAATAATTTAATTACCATACATGAACACCTACTTATCACATCTTGCGTGCAAATCAAGACTCCTTTTCCATATACAACAATCCTAATTAAGCAAATTAAGTCTCACAATAATTCAGATTTAATTATTTCAACGAATATAGATTTCTACACTATGGCTGCAACGAAGAAGAACACGTATGGAGACGGTGTTGATTGGATCAGAGGTTCGATTATCGGTAAAGGAGGATTCGGGTCCGTTTACGCGGCTACTCTCAAGAAGAATACGGAGAATAAATTACGTTTTCCGTCTGTGATGGCCGTTAAATCGTCGGAGGTTTCGGTTTCGACTACGCTTCAAAAGGAGATGGAGATCATGTCAGATTTGAAGGGCTCTCCTTATTTGATCGAATGTTTCGGCCACGAGGCGACGATAAGCAGCGACGGTACTTTCTTGGCGTACAATCTCTTGTTGGAGTATTGTTCGGGCGGAACCCTAGGAGAGAGAATCAAGAAATCCGGTGACAAGGGTTTGCCTGAATCCGAGGTTAGGGTTTACACGAGATGTATAGTTCGAGGTTTGTACCACATGCATGGCGCCGGATACGTGCACTGCGATATCAAGCCCGATAATATATTGCTTGTGCCGCAAGTCAATAATAGTGCTTCGTTTACGGCAAAGATATGCGATTTCGGATTGGCGAAGAGGGAGGTTAGAAATTTCAAGAAGAGGCGAATAACGAGAGGGCAAAATTGGCAGGGCACGCCGATGTACCTATCGCCGGAGGCTGTGAGGGATAATATACAGGAGGCGCCCTCCGATATTTGGGCGCTCGGTTGCGTTGTGCTGAAGATGCTGACGGGGAAGCCCGTGTGGGAAGGGGATACTGCCGGGGAAATAATTAACAAGATAGGGGCAGAAGAGGAATTATTGCCCGATATTCCGGATTATTTATCGGACGAGGCGATGGATTTCATCAAGTGTTGTTTGTGGAGGAATCCTTCGTATAGATTCACGGCTCAAATTTTGATGGACCATCCGTTTCTTGACGGCCTTACCGAAGATGGCGATTCATATAGACCCACGGCTCGAGTGATGTTCGATCGTCCGTTTCTCGACGGCCTTAGCGAAGACGACGACGACGAAGACAGCGACTCTGAAGATGATTCGTTTGGTGATTCTTATTGCTTTGCCAAAGCTATTGTTGATGATTTATCTTTGTATTCGTATATGTAAATTTATAATTATGCAAACAAAGATGAATTTTCATTATATTGTACTGTTGTTAAATATACATTAATGCTTATATTATTATTATTAGTTATTTTTTTAACATTACATCTGCTCTCTCTCTTTAATTTGTCTTCTTCATTGTTAATAATATTGTAATTAATTCTTTTAAGTTTTAACTCGAACTTCTGGTACTTAATGCAAGTCCCTTGTAATTAACTTCTATTAATTTGCTTGCAAATATCGATTAGTACTAAACAAAATAAAAAATATAAAGAATCAAATTAAATATTACTAGTATTAGAAGTGCATAAAATGTTATTATAACTCAAAAAATAATATCAATCCTCAATAATAATAATAAGAGTACAACAGCATCAATCCTGAAAAAACTTCATGGCTGAACCAAAAAAAGAAGAAAAAATAAATAATAAGTAGCAAATTGAAATCAAGAAAATAATCTAATTTTCAATAGTAGTAGTAGTAGCCTGACCCTCACCATCCCTCTTGCTACGTTGCCGCCGCGACATACCGACCATTCTGGCAATACTTGGAGTGGAATACGATGCATCGAACCCGCACCCGCCTCCGCCCACCGATTCGCCGCCCCGTGTCGCCGTCCTTTGTGCGCCGTGCGAGCTCATCCCCGATAGTGCAAAAGCTCGCCCCTCCCGATAATATCGATTCGAGCTTCCCATTCTCCTCTCCATCTCTTCCATTTCGGCCGCAAGCGATGCGCTTAAATCCGACTAAAAAGGGATCATTTGCATTAAATAGAAAACGTGTTGCACAAGATTTTTTTATGTAATGTAAAATTTGTACTTTTGTTGTTGTTGTCCTAAAAATATTTGCATCAATAACAACAAAAGCATTAAGCTACTCAAGCCGATGCTCATGTCTTACTTGATTGAAGACCGCTCGAACTCGACTCGATTGCTAATAAAATTAATCTCAAATACAGTTTTATAGTTCGATAAAATTTATAACAAACTTGAACAATCATCCGTCCGACTGAGCTCAATTATATTCTTCTATAGTGATTTTTTAAAGGTAATTTTAATAAGTTAATCATATTGAAAATTTTGCTAATAAAAATAACTTTCAGACATTATTGCATTCTTGTTTATTTAATTTTGTAGATAGAAAATTCAAAATTGGGACAATATAAAATGGTGTAATTTCCAATAATATTATTTTGATTCAGCATGAGGATAATGTTATAGCTTCAATCATTTTCTTAGCTTCTAAGAAAAATAAAAATAAAAATAAAAATCATTAATTTCTTAGAACCAAGTAGCCTCAATGAGTTCTTCTACACTTCATGGGACAGTGTGACCTGCATTAGAAGAATTTAAAGTCATAAAATTAATTTTAAGAGTTAATTAATAGTAAAATTAGATAACTGAAAATATAAACATTAATAATCATTTACAATTATTCTTTTATAGAAATTCTTTGAAAGAAAAAAGAATCAAATAAAATTTCTATGCCGAAACAAAATATCTTTTATTTCTCTATTCTGAAACACGGGTTTAAGAGGTACGAGACTTACTTCCACACTTTGTACCCTTTCGAAGCGGTTTCTTGCAATGTTTTGCCACATCAGCGACTTTAGCCGCGTTGTATATCTGCTCATTTTGCACAACAAATTTATTGCAAAATTGGACAAAGTTAATCTTTTGAGCATATGCACAACATTGTTTACTAGGCATTTGAAATTTCTTTGTATGTCCCTCCATAGACGAGTAACAATACGCAGCGAAATTGGCCGTGTCCCAACAAACCGAATCTTCCTCGGATTTCGAGGGTCCTTGACCGAAGACCGGGTCGATTTTCAAAGTGATAACTCCACTGAACAGAATAATTAGAAGCACAACATTGCGAGTACTAGGTATGCCCATCTTCTTTTTCGTGGCTTATTTTTTTTTTTTTTTAAATGTTAATTCATGTCGTTTTTCGAGGGATTGAGGTGGTAGTTATGTAGTGCAAGAAGGATGTTAAAAGATTTTGCAAGAAAATGTGAATTGGAAGGCGATATTAATGTAGAATTTATTGAAATTGGACTAAATTTGTTCATAGAAATGAAAATGGATAAGTACATAAACATGCAAAAGTTTTAAGAGGATTAGTTAAAGCCACATTTACAACTACTTTTAATTATAACAAGTATATCTTTTATTTTTATATATAGTTTATAACAAAAGTTCATTAGTTGATAAAATCTATTGACACAAGTACTTTTTGACAAAATTACTCATAGCACTTTAACAAAAAATTCAAACATTTGAAACCCTAATTAACCACAATTTTATCAATATTGGCAATTTGACTGTTGACTGTCGTTCATTCTTTTATTACTTTTTTTTGTTAGCTTTTATGTTGTGTTGACTAGTCAATTTTTTTTCCCGCTAATTATGCTGTGTTGATCGATCAATTTCTTTTACTGTCGGTTATTATGTTAGTGTCGCATCATAATAGGTATCAATACAATATAGGGGAAATTGGCTAGACATCCCTTATTCTAGACTTATATAGGTGGAGATCCAATCTATTAGATGAATATTAGTGTAGGTCCTTGATCAATTAAATTAAATTAAATTATTAGTGTATAGACATAGATGCCCCCAATTAATATTTATTTGTAAATAGTTATTTTATAAATTAAGGGAACAAATCCCACAAATCTCTCATTCTCTCTCCTTTCTACACGGTCAAACATCTCTCCCATCCCATCACACCTACACACATCTCTCTCATCCCTTCTCTCTCACACACGTATTTCACTCTCTCTCAAGGCAACTAATTTGAAAATTAATTCTTTATTACTTTATAAAAATATTTAATTTTTTTTACATAAGTATTTTATAGCAATCTTTCAATTATTAATTTTCTTGAGATCATATGTGTTGGATTTTAATTGTTATTTTGTATGTTCTCGACAATATTGCATTTTTTTGTTTGTATTTTCTAATTAGTTTTAATTGAACAAACAACAAAATAAAGAATTTGAACAACATAATAAATTTGCAACATAAAATAGAAAACTGCAAATTGCAACTTATAAGTGAAAATTAAATTATAAGATTATTATCACACATTGACATTGATTCCGCGCACGTCCGCATGCATTTAATGTTGCTTTTCTTTTCTTCGATCTTGTTGAACAATGAATTGATCCTTTTTTTTTGCAGTGGATGTTGAATATGAAACAAAATGTGATAATGATTGTACGATATAAAACAACAAATGTAATAGTTGCTAACATTAACAACCACTAATTACAAACTGTAAATACAAACACTGAAGGCAAATTGTACACGAAAAATGATAAAGAATGAAGTGCAAACTGTACACTGTAAACTACCAAAGTTATTTAAAACGAAAAATATGTTTGCAATAAAAAATAAAAATACAAATTTCAATTTGAAATAGAAAAAATAAATTATAACAATATTACATGATGTGCAACAAAACTTTAAAAAGTGTAATATTTTCACAATAAATCATATTAATGCAAACAATAAATTAAACTTCAAAGAGAAAAATAAATGTAAATCATTAAACAATAATTTTTGACCACTGGCACTATCGAGGAACTTTTTCATGTCAGCGGCATTAACCAAAAATTGTCTTCATTCTTTTTTACCCAGGCATGTATGGGTTGAAACAATCTCACGATAGGATATAATGTACAATCTTGAACCTACAAAAAATAAATTGCAAACTTTAACCACGACTTACTAATTGCAAAGTTAAGGAAAATAACAAAAAAGAATTATGATTGCAAACAACAAACAACATACGCAAGTTCAAACAAGATTTGCAAAATAATCTGAAAAATGCAAATAGAAAATTGATTGCGAACATGTGTAAAAAGAGAAAAACTAATCTAAAGTCCAATTTATGAGAATTAGAGTACAATATAAACCTAATTGCTAGCAACATAATTCGCAACTCAACAACGTCAACATACGACAAGCATTACATTACAAATTAGTTTCAAAGTGAAAATTAAAATTGCAAATAAATGTCTCTTGCAACAAACATGTTTCAAAGTGTAAACAAAGTAGCTTAATAAAAACTGCTTAAGTAAAATTCAAAAGAAATTAATAGCAATTATTAATTGGAGATGAAAACAACAGTTCATCTTACAAATGTAGACATGAAATGCAAACAATTAATACGAACTCCAATTAAGACCAAACATGAACTGCAAACAACCAATAACAACTTCAATTGCAATAGAGAATCGCAAAGTGCAAACTGCAATTTAAAAAAAAATATAACCAGACTACTAACTTCAACAAACCCTGCAATTTATATCTGATTTCTCGGGGATTCGAATTCATCATCCTCGTTCGCTGTCTCAAGAAAAAAAAAGGGTTTTTGAATGAGTATTGAAAAAATCGAACAATCATATGTACATGTAGTTAATAGGAGTATTGCTTACCGAGACTAAATTGTGTTTGAGCCATTGTAGAAATCACAAACAACAAATGAAGAAACAACAGATGATGTCTTCAAACAACAAACGATCTCCAAATAGCAAACGAGAAAAGAAAAAAAAAACTGATTTCACAGCGTAGACAACAAACGAAATTTTGTGGATTGCAAACGGCAGACTCAATGCGATTTTTGGTTAGGTTTGGTATTGATGAAATCGATGTTTTGGAGCGGTGAAATTTGATGGAATCGATTCTTGGGAGTGGTTGAATTTGAGATTGAGATTTGAGAATACGTGAAATTTTGGAATGGGTTGATTAACTGCAAGGAGAAAATTATGGGATATTTATTTTGGAGATTTTTATTTCCATATATTGTTAGGGATATTTTTGACATATTAAAAATAATAAATTTACTAAAAATTGAGTTTTATTAGTTGGATTTATAGACATAAAATCTCTTATAGGAGGACCTATAGCAAATTGCCCCTACAATATAATAGTCGATGTTTAAAAAGAAAAGTTGACCGGTCAATACAACACTATAGAGGTCAACACAACATAATAGTTGATGTTAAAAAAATGATTGGTCAATACAACAGATTAGCGGTCAACACAGTATAATAGCGTGAACCAAAAAACTTCAACGACGGTCAACGAGTAAATTGATGAAGTTATAAGTAAATTTAGGGTTTCATAATTTAAATGGGACGGATGTGTAGAAAGGGTCATGGTATTATAGTCACTAGCATTTTTTCCCCGTGCGATGCAGGGGATATTATTTCAGAAGTGAAAAAAAATAATCAATTTAATACATAATAATAAAATATAGTATACTAACATAGTAAAATTTAATAATGCAGTATTATTCATATTTTATATCACATTAGTTTTTCTAAATCTGACATATTAAGATTTATAATCCAAATATATAGATTAATAACAAATCGAATTTATATCTTTATCTCTTAAGATTTGAGATATATTGATGAGAAATAGGAGATTGATAATGGTAGAAAATTATAATTGAAAAATTAGTAGACAAAAAATATTAAAAATAAATAATTACAAAAATACCATTAGATAAGATTCTTCGGGATTTAGTTTCAATTTTGATAATTGTTAAAAATTATAGTTAGAAATTAGCAGAGAAAAAAATATTGAAAATATTTAATTACAGAAATACCATTAGGTTTTTTAGGGTTGCCCAACGTTTCTTTCTTTTATATATAAGATTACTCATTAATAGACTTTTAGGTAAAAAAAATAATTTTTATCTGAACTTTACCCAAAGATAACTTTTTCTGCACATACTAACAAATATATTAGTTGATGGACTTAATGTGAGATTTTCCCAAATTTTAAATGAAGCAATTTGAATTAAATTAAATTTTGGCTCGTATTGCTTTGAGAAAAAAAGAAATGAGAAGGTTCTCATGACTAAAATTCTTTGAAATAATTTACGCGTTACATACATTAATACTATTAGGCCCCGTTTGGTTGACAATATAAGATTAGTCAAGATAAGATTAAATAATCTAATGAAACCCCAATTATTTTATTGGAGCTTGAAACGTCCAACAAAAAAAACTCATTAGAAGGCAAGATAAGCCATGATTATATAATTTTGGCGGGTCGACCCGACAATTTATTGAGGATACCAAACATCAAATTAAGTCCAACTATTTTAGTTAATCATGGCTTATCTTGGCAACCAAACGGGACCTCAATTTAGGGCTATTACCTATTTAATTAAACTAAACTGGATCCAAATTAATATTTCGTCGTCTAAGACCTTGTTTGGTTGTTATAAATCGAACTAGCCAAATAAATATTATGTATTTTTGTGAGAGACAAGTTTTATAGTTGCATTTTGACGAGTTCGATTACTAACTATGCAATAAACAAAAAATTATTTAAGAAAAAAATATAAACTACACTAATCAAACATCAACTAATTATAATATTTAATTAAATAATTTTAAGAATAAACTACGTTTGCCTTTATGAAATTAACTTTAATCATACTTTGACCCCTCGAATTTCAAAAAGTATAAAACCTTTCTTGCATTTTGATTATATCTAACATTCAACATCCTTTTAATATTAAAAAAAAAATGTGTTATATATTTTAATATCCTTTTAATATAACATCCTTTTAATATATTCAAAACTCTACTACAAAATGTGTTATATATTTTAATATTTTATGTATATTCAGAAAATTAATAGTCGTATGGAAGTCTATATACTTGCCCACAAAATTTGTGGGGTTGAGGGAGTGATTATATATTCATATAAAAACTTAATTATGTCGGAATTTTGACGAAGAAAAAAACAATTATCTTCTTTATTTTTCCGTTGAAACATAACAATTGTATTAAATGCGATAAATACACAATTCTATTATTTATTTAATTTGATTCAATTTGTAGACGTAAAATAGGAACCGGTTGTGATTCATTATGCGGACAATGTTACACCCTCAACGAGTTACGTTCTTCGTACACTTCACTTCATGGGACAGTAATATCTGCATTAGAAGAAATCAATGTCATAAAATAATGTTTAGGAGTTAAAAGTAAAATATAACTAAAAAAATATATATAAATACGATTTTTTAAGAGATACGAGACTTACTTCCACACTTTGAACCACTTGGAAAAGGGTTTCGGCAATAGCGTGCCACACCAATGACTTTAGCCGCATCGTATATGTGCTCGTTTTCTCCAACGAATACGTTGCAGAATGACACAATGTCAGTCTTTTGAGCGTAGATGCAACATTTTTTACTAGGCATATTAAATTGCTTCGTAATTCCTTGCATAGACGAGGTACAATAAGCCGCGAAACTTGCCAGATCCCAACAAGTTGAATCACCCTCGGGTTTTTGGGGCGCTTGAGCAAAGACCGTGTCGATTTTCATAGTGGTAACCCCGCCGAGCAAAATAATTAGAAGCACAACATTGTGTGTACTAGGTAGGCCCATCTTCTTTGTGTCTTTTTTTTTTTTTTTTTTTTTGGTTAAGGTTTTATTTTATGTTAGTTTGTGTTTATTTTGGAGGGATTGGGGTGGTGGTTATGTAGTGCAATAGGGGATGCTGAAGGATTTTGCAGGGAAATATAAATTGGAAGATAATATTATTGTAGAATTTATTGAAATTGGACTGAATTTTTTTATGAGAAATGAAAGTGGATATACACCATAACATGCAAAACGTTTATAATTAATCAAGAAAATTATAATTAATTATAAATTACCGGTTGTTCAGGGGAATACGATGCTACACCCGGTGATTTTCACAGGGTAGCTCTCTTCTTGACATGTGTCTTTTTTTTACTTTTTTTTATAATTATATTTCTAAAACCCCATGGGAAGGTTGTTCATTGCTTTGAGAAAACAATGAGAAGGTTGTCATGACTAATTCTCGTCGAAATATCCATCTGTTCCACAATATTTATCACTTTTGAGAATTTCTTTTTATTTATATTATCTGTCACTTTAGAATTTCAATTATGCATTACTTACTAATTATCAATTTTACCCTTATTACTTCTCTCAAACACTCTCTGTTATTAATTAATTAATGTGGCAATGATATTGTGTACTCCATCCATGCCAAAAAAACGACTATTGAAAGGGAACGGAGAGAGTGATATTTACGCGTCATGGTTCTCACTACGAGTGTTAATATATGCAATTTGATTCAACTAAATTGGATGTCGAGTAATATTTCATGGAAGCCCTTGTTTTAAACATTTCTTACATTTAATTTTGATTTATCTAACATCCAACTTCCTCTCGTCATTAAATCACTAATTGTTTATACCTTTGTACTTTATTAAAACATAGATTTCAATATTGTACTCATAAATTTCCACACAACAAAAGGTACGTAAAGGAAGTATTCGAACACGAATTTTCCAAACACACAAAAAAAAAAAGATTATAACTTCAACCAAACAACCGAAACGAGTTGTTCACGGAAGTGAATCCACCATCGACCATCAAATTCTCTCCGCTAACGTACCTCGCCTCATCACTCGACAAGAATACGACGGCATTCGCGACATCCTCGACGGCCAACTCCACACCTTGCAACACCGCATTACTCGCATGCATACGACGGTGCCGCGCGATCACATCCTCATCGCTAATTCCGCTGCCGCCGTGTCGAGCGATAAGAGGAGACAACGACATTTTCGTCGGAACACCATAAGGCGACACGCAGTTCACGCGCACCCCGTGCCTTCCCAGCTCGGCCGCTACGCTCCTCGTGAGTCCCACCACCGCGTGCTTCGACCCGGTATACGCGTGGGACCCGACCCCCCCGACCACCCCCGACACACTGCAGATGGACACTATCACCCCCTTTTTGGCCGGGATCATCACGCGGGCCGCGTGCTTCATCCCGGCAAACACCCCCCTGACGTTCACGTCGAAGACTCCGTCGAACGACGAGAGATCCAACCCGCATATGTCGGTGCGTGCTCGGGGCGGGTCGGTTCGGCCCGCGTTGTTCACCATTATGTCGAGGGTTCCGAATTCTGCGACGGCGTGGTCCACTGCCCGTTTTACGTCGTCCTCGATCGTGACGTCGCAGTGGATGAACGAGGTGGACCCCACGTCGTCAAGGAGGGCCTCGCAGAGGTGTCGGGCGACGTCGTCTTGAATGTCGGCTACGCAAACTTTGGCGCCGTGTTTGACGAACGAGCGTACTATGCTCTCTCCGATGCCACTAGCGCCTCCCGTGACCAACGCAACTTTGCCTAGTAATCTGAAATCTCCCATATATTGTTAAATTAGACAACAAAAACTTTTTTTTTTTTTTGTCTCATAAGAAGTGAGGCCTTGTTTTGTTGTTAAGATATGTTAATTAAATTAAGGAACTAAAATAAAAAATGAAAGTGCAGGTAAACATAAAATTTTGGTTGCAAAGAATATCACCTCTTGGAGAAAGAAGAAGAATTTGTTGAGCTTGTTGATGCCATGATGCCAATGAAAAGGGTTACGCCCTTTCCAAATTATTCTATATGTATAAATAGTTCTATGTCTGTACAAAATATAGGATGGGCAAATTACGGTCAGCCCCTGAGGTACGGTCAAATTACGAAAAAATCCCTTTTGTTTGGGTGATTACAGCCACCCCTCCTCTTAAATATTTTTACATAAAATTTATGTAATTCGGTTATTTGCCTAACCAAATCGTATATTCAGTTTGGTAAACGGCATGAAATGTTGGCGTACCGAAACCTTGATTCAATTTTACCGATTTAACATCCCTGAATTTACATATAAAGGGATTTTTTCGTAAGATAATACATAGTTGAGGGGGACTGTAATTATATAGAAGTCAACCAAAATATTATGCATGCTAGGGTAGGAGAGTTCGGCCAATTTTTTAAGTTGATTAAAGAGACTGAGAAGGCTACATTGCATGCACATAAGTTGGGTAGGAATACCTAATTTTTTTATACCATTATCATTATGTATTGTAATTTTAACAATAAATATTTAAATTATTGAACGATAGGACAAGAAATTAAGCTTTTGTTTTAATTTATTTTAAAAGTAGTCCCACTAGGGGTTGGTCTAAATTCGTAGCTCTACCAGATTTCTAAAGTAGAGTAAGTTATACTCACTCCTATTAGGAAAGGGATGAGGAATGAATGAAATGGAATGACTAGGGGTGGAAATCGGAATTGAATTTCCGAATTCCTCCAATTCCAATCCGAAAATATTCGAATTTGTAATCATATTTTTCATTTCAATTTCCGAAGTTTCGATTTTCGATTTTTCCAAATTTATTTGGAAGGGAATTTGAATGATATATAAAATTAGAAATTTCGATTTCCGATGCTATTTTAGTTCCGAATATTTCTATGGTTTGTCGAAATATATAATATAATTTTATGATATATTTTGTAATTTCATAATATAACTTATGTTATTTTTTATTTTTTTTGAGTAATAACTTATGTTATATTTTATATGAAAATTATAAAATACCAAGGGTCAAGTAAATTAAAACCTTATAAAATATTAATTGGTATAAAAAAGAAAAAAAAATATTGTGAAAATTGTCATTATATGTGAATTTAGAACAAGAGATTATAAACTAATGAATTTTTGCATTCCTACTTTTTTGGAACACAAATCGGAACCCATTTTCTACTTTCGAAAAAAATTGAAAATTTTCCGAATAATGTTATTTCCGGTCAATTATCTGTCTGATTTCCACCAGCTAGGAACAACCTGTGGTCTATGAAGATGAATAAATATATTATATCATATTCTATGTTTCGTATCGACAAGGAATAAAAAAAGGAATATACAATTCATTTGTTACTTGATTTTCAAATTTAATTTATTTGTAACTCAAAATAAATGCTAGGAGTGGAATAAACATATTTTTATTGAGAAAATTATCATTTAAATAAAAAAATTTAAGATAATAACAATTCATTTACTAATTTTGATTATTTCGTTCTTTTTATTAAACTAAGTAAAATAACTATTTTGTGTATGGGTCAAGAATTCATCAAGTCAAATTTTATTAAACTTGAGAATTTTCAGCAAAAAAAAAAAAAAAACTACATTTTATAAAAATTCAATAGAGCATTTGTCAGCGATCTACAAAAAATTGTGGTGTAAAATATGAATACTGGTCATATAGTTGTTGGAAATTTGATCGTCACCATCGATCTTCAGCATTGACTTTTTTTTTTTCCTAATTTTTTTTCTGCAATATGATACGCGTACAAATTGAAAACCTAAAATGAATTTATGCTTTTAGCTTAAAAACTTGTGTTTCTGATCTATAATATAGCCAAAAAAAATACAAATCAGGCTACTCAGGTTACTAAGAGCAACTTCAATGGAGTTATTAAATGAGTTATCAAATCTCTTAACTACCATTTGACTCCTAAAATTTAAAAATTGTGTTCTCCAAAGGGTTATTAAAATGGGTTTGTATTTTGATATTTCACGTATTTGAATCTAAAAATACTTCCTGCAGATTGAGTTATCAAAAAAATAACCACGTAACCAACCAATCAGAATTTGACATGTGGCAATTACATATAAAATTATTAAAAAACTTCCAATTGACAATAAAATTTAATTACCATGGTTGGAGTAGATTAGTTTTAAATGTATTTTAAAATATTATCATAAATATCAAATGAGCATTTGATAATCCAATTTTGATATTTAGCATTGGAGTTGCTCTAAGGTCTTGTTTGATTGATAAGAGTTTAACCATAATGAATTAAATAATTAGATTTTATCTGATGTTTGGTTAGTCAAATTAATAGTTTTTCCAGCCGACCCGCAATTGTTGGAAAATTGGTTATTTTATTAAAGCAGAAAATTGTAATTTCCCTCATTGATGTTGGTCTACTAATTACGAATTTTATTGGTGCAAATTTCGTATTTTTGATTCTATTTTGCTTGAATTTTTTTTGTGTTACGGCGCAACAAGTTAAACAAACCTGCCGGATAATATGATTATTTAAAGAGTATTTATCATATTTTATATAAATTTAGTGGTGAATTAAGATAATTTGGAGGTGGTATCACCACTCAACAAATATGATTAGACATTTGGCATTGTAAATTAATACCACTAAAAATATTAAATTACATTCATTAATTTTAAAAATACATTCGAGATAAATTATGCATGATTTATTGTGTTTAATTGGTGCAAAGTATTGGAATTAATTTTTCTCAAAAGTGCAAAGTGCCAAAAATTCTTTTTCAAGGGTGCAAAGCGGGATTACGCCAAAATAAAACATATATTTTCCCCTCATTGTCAATGCAAAATCCCCCAATAAAAAATAATGGCCAACATGATTTGAATTTCTCAAAAAAAAAATTAAAAAGCAATAATGGTCAACTAATAATATTACTAGCATTTCACTTTTATTATTACAACCATATACATAATAATCTCATTTCCTCCAAGCAAGATTTCCTCGATATAAAACTCTCAATATTAGTATATTACAATATATATTCACAAGATTGTAAATATATATCTATATATATAGAAACCCTTATAATATATTTCCTCAATCAAATCACTAATTCAAAGCATCATGTTAACTTAAACATAATCCCAATTCTTGTGCACTATATATAACCCTAAACCCTAAAACCATTTTCTCTATTCACAATCAATATAATCATGGCTTGCAAAAATGTCATCAATCCACCACTCATTATTTTCATTGCACTAACATTCATCTTGACCAACACCCTTGACCGGGTCAACGCAACGGACCCCGGTACGGGCCTGTGCAGGCAGACGACCCACAACGACCTCTGTCTGTCGATACTCAAGGCCGATCCGCGATCCGACCTAAAATTCAGCCCTAGCGGTGTGGCCACCATACTCAGGGACAGCGCCCTGTCCACGTCAGCAGATGCCGCCGCTAAAACTACCGACCTGTTAAAAAGCGCTAGTGACAAGCAGGAGATCGCGAGCCTGAAGAGTTGTTCCGGAGGGTACTCGAGCGCGATATCGAGTTTGAAATCGATCAAGTTCGACGTGATTGACCGTACGACTTATCCGTCAATGGTTGCGGCGGTTAACGCGGGCACCGTGGCGGGACGCGACTGCGAGGCTTCGTTTAAGAAAGGGGCGGGGGTTCCGTCGCCTTTGACGGCGGTTAATGGGAGGTTGGGTGACGTTTGTGATACTTTGTTGGAGATTATCAGTTATGCGGTTGGGGAAGCCCTAAATATTGAGTAGTAATTAATTCATTTATATTTATTTTGACATGTTAAAAGGAAATAGGGAAATGAATAAGTTGTACAATTTAGTTGATTATTATGTTTGAATAATGGAGTTTGGATTTACTTAATTACTATCTTTGGGTTCTCACAACATCTATAATTTATGACTACATGTTTGGCAAATTTGAAGTAAATTAAATTAAGTTGGGGACTGGTTTGGGTACTTAAGGTCGATTATCAGCATAAAAACCGACTCATTCGACAAACCAAATTTACTTGAAAAGGAGAACCATTATTGACCCAACCTTTGTCGATCGATCGGTTGATGATTGACAATCGAATATTTGGTTACGAAATGCGTCCGTTGAGGGATATGTCCGCACCACCTAATTCACTTAAAAAGTATACATATTATGCGTGTCTTTACACTATCATCAATTATTATTTGAGAATATTTAGTAGCAACTCGATAAAAAATACAATTATGAAATTGGTGGAATTTTTGTGAGTTTTTTCCTAAATGGCGGCTTACGCATAATGTAATTTGATGGAAGATTTATGCCTACTTGTTTTCTTTGTTGAATTTTTTAAATTAAAATACTAACTATTGTTAAATTAATACCCACTTACAAAAATCACACACTTAATTTAGAAATTATTTAAAAAAAAAATAGAAATTAAAATAATATGTTAATGAAATTTTATTAATATAGTTAGTTGTTTGACTGATAAATAATAAATAAAAGAAATGGCAAAAAAAAAAAAGGTTAGTGGATATTACACCAAATATGGTAATATAGGGACTACTTTTTCTATTATATATCTGAAATGCATGGTCCGATTAGCAATTTAGGTGGAATATGGCGCTAAACTGAACGTTTTTTAAGATAAATGGGCCTACTGATAAATAAAGAAAACTTTGGGCAATTAGACGAAACAAACAAGCCCGCGAAATGAGTCAATGATCGAAGCTCTCTCTCTCTAACTTTCTCCTCTGAAATTAACACACAAATTTATTTCTCTGGCTCGAAGCTGACGTCATCATCGTCTTCAATTGTGTCGGTAATACGGTATGCCGTAGATATAGTTTACTGATTATCTCCACTTTACTGGATGTCCCATTATATTTTTTATTCTTATTCATCAGCATTTTTGTTTATTTAGGAATTTTATTTTCAGTGATGCAAATAATTGAAGCGTTAGTGTTTTCAGGCTAATGGGGTTTATGAAACCCTAGTCATGATCAGTAGTAAAATCTATGTTAATTTGGTACTGTCGGTCTTTTAGAGAGGGATTATTGCAAGACGTTTAATGGGTTTTTTTATGGAATAGCTCACCACCTGTTTGATAAAATGTTTGTGAGAGACTTCTTTGTGTTAAGTTTTTCGTACTTTTTCGTTACCATGTTTTGATTTCTGTGAATGCGTAATACCTTAGTATTGCTTTTAAATTACTGAAACGGATAAAAAATTATCCGTTTAGGATTGTCGGTATTGCAATCTAGACAGAACTAGCTAAAAAATATGTCTTAATTTGCAATTATGTGCCGTATATTGTGAATCGCGTAGCACTGGTCCACATTATATTGAAGTCTCATTCTCGTCGATCCAAATTTGAACTCTTAACTGATATTAGCTGTTTAGTTACTTGTTTTCCGTCAAGCTTAATTCAGAGATGTTCGTTACGACTTGATTCAGAGATTTGCTGGATGTTGTTCTTGAATGGCTATAATTATATATAGATAAAGGTTCCGTATCTACAAATTAGTCTTGATTCTGTGTGCTCTTAATACGAAACAGAGAAATTTTTTTTATTTTTTTTTTAATGAAAATTGGCGAGTTTCGGTTCAGGAGTTTGCTAAATTGAGAATTGCAAATTAAACAAATTTCCGATTTGCCTGTTTCCTCGAAGCACACATCTCTAACTCAATAGACTCTCGACAGTGATGAAATCAATTATACTCATATTCAAATGTAGTAACTTACCTCATTCTTCTTATCTTGAAGTTTGTCCAATTAGCGCCATAATTAATATGAATCAACACTTTTACTCTGCAAAAGTCCGTGTCCATATTATTTATTTTTTTAAGTGGTGCTTTCTGATATATACTCTAAAGAAGAACCTTTATTTCAGGTCCGAAAATGGGACAGGCACAGAGTAGTGAAATTGTAGAGGATCAAACGAGCCAAGCAGCCACAACTCCCCCGCCAACCGAGACTTCTTCCGAAAAGCCTTCGCTCGATTCTTTAATAGCCGAAGCAGCTGCATACGGTGAAGATGACACCACTGAATTATCACCTGAAGCCAAGGCTCAAAAGGCACTAGATTGCCCCTGCATTGCTCACTTGCGGAGCGGTCCGTGTGGGTCCCAGTTCTCGGAAGCGTTCGTTTGCTTTCTCAAGAGCACCGCTGATGAAAAAGGGTCCGATTGCGTCAGCCCTTTTGTGGCTCTGCAGAATTGCATCAAGACGAATCCTGATGCCTTTTCGAGTGACGTTTTGGATGAAGACGAGGTCGAGAAAGTCGAGGAAGAGAAACCCAAATCGGACACGCAGTATAAGATTCGGCCTCCCCTTTGGTCGAACGAATCGAAATCTGCAAACAAGTGAAGATGAACGTCTCTTTCTTGATTTAGGGCTACTTTTTATTTGATCTGTTGAAATTGGTGAGTGAGGTTGGCTACTGAGCTAATATTAATAAGTTTTAGTTGAGATCAAATATGTTTTTTTTTTTTTGCATGATTTATTTGAGTTCGAAAATTCAGGATATTGACCAGTCAATGGGTTCTTTGCAGTAAAAAGATTACTTGCAGTTCCACACTTTGGTGTAATTGAATTTTATTATCATTGATTATCGAATTGATTATTTTTGCTCTAGCTAATTATTTATCAACTGAGGCATAAGGCATCGTTTGGTTCTTAAGATATGATTTAAGATTATCCAATATAAAATTAAATAATCTTGTTATTAGATCATCGTTTCGTTCCTTCCCCTAAATTTGGCTAGTTTACCCGAATAAAATTTCTTTTTTTCCTCAAAAATAAAAATAAAAATATCTTACCAATCGAACGAGATTTTTGAATCCATTTAATTAATATGAATTTGAATCCGCACATTGAAATCATCCAATCTCACATTTAAGCTTGTATTTGAATTAATAAATTTCGAAAAAGTGTAAATTACAACTACCTCCCTGAAGTAAAGTGTAATTACAAAAACTCTCTTCATTTTGAAAATTACATCCGACCACCTATAGTTTGTAAATTTCTTATATCCATTCCCTTCAATTCAAAAGAGTGTTAATGCAAGAAATCTACGAATTACAGAAAATTCACGTAATTATAGAAACAATAAGGGTTTTTTCATAAATAACCCATTCGAAAAATCAATTCATCAAACACCTTGCCCGCATAATATTCAAATCCATTTACAGATGGATATAGCTAAAATCCAAAACACCATGCAAAATTCATGCAATCACGTCCAGTCCAGTGTCCACCTTCAAACTCCGCCACGTCTAAACACACACACACTAAACACCATTTTTTCACACGCACAGATTCATTATCTCCATTTTTTTTGCATAATTAAACAGCCGACGAACAAAAACCGAAAAGAAGGAATTGAATTTTGGTGATCGATCGGAATCAGAATCAGAATCGGAAAATTGAGATCGATCATGAACGCGGAGAGCTTGTTGACTTCAGCTTCGATAAACATAGGTTTCGCTCTTCTGATCCTCACCCTCTTCTCCATACTCAGAAACTCCCCTTCAAACGCCCCCATCTACTACGCCCGCCGCCTCTCTCAGCACCGCCGCCTCTCCTTCCTCCTCCGCCGCTTTCTCCCCTCCGTCGAGTGGATCCGCCTCTCCCTCTCCGTCACCGACGACGAGATCCTCGACACCAGCGGTCTCGATGTATTGATCTTCATCCGCCTCTTCAAATTCGGGTCAGTGTCAATTTCCCAATTACTTTTTATTATTATTTAATTTGTTCGGAGTTTAATTAAATTATTTTCACAATTAATTGTATGTGGAGTATGGGTTTTTGATTTCTATTATATAAGGGATGAACTCCAATTGAAGAAATAATATTAATGGTGAAATTAAAATATTTAATTTTTCAGGATAAATTTCTTCTTGGTTTGCTCTGTTATTGGATTGTTATTACTGCTTCCACTTAACTATATCGCCGGCGAAGGAGGGCCGTCTCGTCGTTCGCATTCGATGGATGCTTTCACAATATCCAACATTGCCAATGGCTCCCACTGGTAATTAAGGCTTGTTCCGAAAGAAAAAATCGAGTATTATTTATGCCTTTTTTAAAAACAATAGTCTAGTTTCAACATTCTTGATTAACCTTAATACTAATTAACCCCACGGTTTACGTATCGGTTTGTAATGTGTAGTAATTTTCACACACTTATCGGAGTAATTAATTAATTGATGTTGAGCAGGCTTTGGGTGCACTTTTTGTGCTTGCATTTCGTGTCTTGTTACGGATTATACCTACTCTACAAGGTAGTCGTCGTTATTCTTATGTACTCACTCTCTCGTGTAATCTGCCGAATAAATCGGAAATGCTGAAGAGGGATACTAAAATATTTTTTATATAAAAAAATTGATGAATTTCTTATAGAATGTGAGAAATCGGAGGGGCTTAGAAAAGGTGACTCGTGTTTTCGTTTGTCATTCGCAGGAATACAAAGATATATTAGTGAAGAGAATTAATCAGCTGCATATTATGAGGCATCAGCCAAATCAATTCACCGTTTTAGTTCGAGAAATTCCGTTATGCGACGAACACAAGGCTCGTGATTGCGCTGTCGATCACTTCTTCTCGAAATATCATCCACACTCTTATAAGTCTTTTCAAATACTATACGATGGAAAAGAGCTCGATAAATTATTGGTAACGTTTGCGAGTCTTTTATTTTTTATTTTTATGTTTCTAATTTAACATATTCACTTTTCAAAATCGTGTATAGAATGAGGCGAAGTCTATTACAAGAAAAATCGAGGATTTGAGGCATCGTTCGATGACTAAACAAAACAGAGTTGCCCCTCATGCAGAAATCGAGCAACTGAAGGAAATACTTGAAGAACTTGGACGTAGAATACGTAATACACAGACTAAAGAACAGCTTCAATCAAAGGTAAAAAAATTATCTTAACTGTCGTTCATTATATTTATTAATTAATATTGAAAATATTAATTAGAGGTCATATTTTCGAGTACTTTTTAATATTTCATGTCTCGGTTTTTTGCAGGAATTGCCCGTTGCTTTCATCACATTCAAATCGCGATGGGGTGCTGCTTTAGCAGCACAATCTCAGCAAACATCGAACCCTTTATTATGGATAACCGAAATAGCTCCAGAACCAAGAGATGTATTATGGAATAATTTATCAATTAAATATAAATACTTACCCCTTCACAAATTTGGTGTCTACGTGGCAGCTTCCCTACTCACAATCTTCTTCGCCGTACCGGTGACAGCTGTCCAAGGAATCGCGAAATTCGAACGGCTTACAAAATGGTTTCCTCCCGCAATGGCTGTGCAATTGATGTAAGTTGCATTTAACTAATTTATAGTTTTAATTAATTAATTAATTTATGATTTTTTTTTTTTTTTTTTTTTTTTTTGTAGACCTGGATTGAGGTCGATTGTGACGGGGTATATTCCGAGTGTTATACTCAACAGTTTTGTGTACATTGTACCATTTGCAATGATGGGAATGGCGAATTTAGGCGGTTATGTATCAAGGAGTAGAAAGGATATAAAAGCATGCAATTTGGTTTTTTATTTTCTCGTCGGAAATGTTTTTTTCCTAAGCCTTTTATCGGGATCTTTATTGGATCAAATCGGGGAATCTTTTAGCCATCCGAGGGATTTTCCTAGTCGACTCGCTAGTGCTGCTTCTGCTCAAGTAAGTTCACACTTTTTCTTATACTCGTACTCGTTTTTTTTTCATCTCGTTTAATTGCAGGCGGATTTTTTCATGACGTACATTTTGACAAACGGGCTATCGGGATTTTCGTTGGAGATTCTTCAGCCTGGATTGCTTATATGGGATACGATAAAGTCACACACGTGGGACCGTGAGAAGAAAAAACGGCCTTATCTTTATTCCCTACCTTATTATCGAATCATTCCTTTCGTCGCTCTCTGCATTTTAATCGGCATGGTGTATGCAGTTGTCTCGCCTTTGCTTCTACCATTTCTTGTAGGCTACTTCTGCCTAGGCTATGTCGTCTTCGTAAACCAGGTCAACTCTAATATTCGGATATTACATACGACTTTTTTTAATTTTAAATATGGTTTATTTTTCGATGATGAAGAACTTTGTTTGGGTCTTGCAGATTAGAGATGTGTATATAACTACTTACGAAACGTGCGGTCAATATTGGCCTTATATTCATCACTACATTGTGGTTGCAATTGTGATCATGCAAATTACGATGATTGGTCTTTTCGGATTAAAGTCGAAACCTTTGGCTGCTTTTTCTACAATACCTCTAGTGGTTTTCACTTTGCTCTTCAACGAATACTGCAAGATTCGTTTCCTTCCTACGTTTTACCAGTGCTCGGTTAAGGTAAAATGTGTTTTTAGCTTTCTAATTTCAAGAGGAAGCTATATATGTATATATATATATATATATATATATATATATATATATATATATATTATTTTTTTCTTTTTTTGGTAATTCTTGTCTACATTTATATATTATAGGGTAAATTACGGCCACTCCTTAGATAATGTTAAATTACGAAAAAACCCTTCCTGTTTGGATAATTACAATCACTCCTCCACTATGAATCTTCTTACATCTTCTTACATGTCCACCCTTGCGTCAAATTTAGTGGAATCTTCTAGATTATGTGGAATATTATCCAGTTTGTCCCCGTTTTATCTCATTCCAAGTCCACATTTAGAAACAAGATGATCATAAGATGTGTATATTGGCTTGTAAATATCAGATTGTGGTGTATCTAAAACTGCATTTTTGCACAAAACGAGTACAAAGTAGAAAACATTTCACGGAATTGAGAAATTTATGTTAAATTTGACATAAATTTGACACCATAAGGGTTGACGTGTAAGCAAATTCATAGTTGATGGGTGGTTGTAAGTATCCAAACATAAGGGGTTTTTTCGTAATTTGACCTTACCTCAGGGGTGACCGCAATTTATCCTATATTATATAAATGTAACAAGTGCCTAACTATTTTATTTTATCTGGATGAATTAATTTACAAAGAATTCAAAATCTTTTTTACTTTCATTTTGAACTATTTTTTTTCTAGTCATTGTGAACTTAAGTGAGTTTATCTAATTAGCAGGATGCGAGGGAAAGAGACGATTTTGACGAAAAAACGGAATTAATGGAAGCTAATTTAGAGAATGCTATTGATGCCTATAGCCCACCTTGTTTGCGGGCTCCGGATATTGATGACGTGGAATCGGGTTCGTTGGAGCCATTAATATCTCCCACGTGATAAATAAATATCTTTTTCCGTCTCGTTTTTGCTCTTTCTTGATTGGGGTTTTTTTTCTTCTTTTGATAACTAGTAATTTATTTAACATTGTTTTCTGCTTGTACATAATGTTTGTTGATGTCAATTTTTTGGTGTTGAGGGTGAAATTTATAGTGTGATTGAGGAAATGTGTGTGTGTAATGTTATTTTTTGTGGATAATATTTTCAAGAAATTCCCTTTAATCGTGTTATATACAGCGGGAAGCCGGTGTAGGGCCAGGGTGGTCATAGCCCCCATCAGATTATTTCTTTTTTTTACTATTATATATATATATATATATATGTATATAATTTATTGACTTTGTATTGTACTCCTATCATATTTAATAATTTAGTTTATATAAAAATAAAAATTAAATATTTTAATTGAAAAAAACAAAGAGATATAATAAATAATTCTAACATATAAAATAAGGAAGTTACAGATTGTGACTCGTAACAATGAACAAGAGGCGGATCCATCATTAGGTAAGGATGGACTCAACTCGACCCTCAATCGGGAAAAAAATCTATTATATTACACCTATATAGTTACTAAGTCCACTCAATTTTTATTTAGTCCACCTAAAATTTAAATTAAGGGTAAATTACACACACCCCCCTGAGGTATGCTTAAATAACTGTAAGGTCCCTATGGTATCGATAATTACACTTAGCCCCCTGAAACGTAGTCAGAAACTCTAATGGGATAATGAATTGGATACGTTATTCCGATAGGGTTCTAACGGACTATTGGTTTCAGAAAGTGGTGAAGACAACAAAGAGCTATGGGGTGACATGGCTCCCGAACATTCCCGAACATTTCC